AAAAACGCACTTGGGGTTCCGGCAGAGCCCCGATTGGTATATTACGTTACATATTTGGATTGATTTATTTCTTGACATTGGCATTTATGGCATAATAATGTGGAGGTGAGCGCGGGCCCGTCCATTTATGACCAGACGGTTCTCTTGACTTCGAAATAAAAGGGAGCTGCTATCTTTAGGGCCGCAATGCTTATTTAACTTAAATATATTTTTATATATACTAAAATATTAAGAAATTTTAAAAATACCATGGGGCCCTCCGAAGACCCCGCTTGGTAAACAACGTTGACGACCTAGGCTTGGTACGTTAAGGGTTAAAACGCATATATTCGATTAAAATAAAAATGGCATGTTTTGAAATAAAATTATATATAAAGTGGTTTACAGATATTATTGGTGTAGTTTCGTGTCACATTTCGGTTAAGTTCCGAGAAGGAATAAAAGAGTTTCACGTTGGTCGGAGCATTTCAAGCGAAACAACATTTGCTCTGGCATGAAAATTTCCTAGCAAAAGGTCGCGAAAAGGTTTGAAAATCCGACAGTGCTCGGTATAAAAGTTTCTCTCGACGTCGGGGAATGGCGATAGCACCTGACCGAAGTTCGAAGCTTCTCACGGGCCTGAAACTGGTTAGCCCCGGATATAAAAGAACGAAATTAAAGGGCGAATTCAAACACGTCATTTTACTTTTGTACTGTTTCACGTTGTTGTATTTTTCCTTTTATTTTCAAAGTTACAAAATTCAAGGAATAAACTTTGGTCCAATCAACAGTATCTTCTTTGATGCAGGATTGGTTTTACAGCGAACGTCATAGGTTGCGTTAGGTTATTCATGAATTTCACCGGTGTAACTTTATGAAACGTTGATACGTGTAACCGTGACGCGTAAATTCACTCCATATATTGCGAAGCGGATCTCATAATGCGCTTCTCGCATCACAAACCAACGGCGGATTCTGGCAATCGTCGACCTCGAAGCGACGGACCTCAAAGAGGATCTCAGAACTAGCGAGCACTCTAAAGCGCAAACGTCTGAAAACATTCCGCTTCTTGCAATGATAAAAACGCGATGTTGTTCTGTAACACAGAGCAAACTACAATAAAGAAATTACTTCTCTAGGGTATCTTCGTAAGTAGCTTCAAACTTTGTTGATTCACTTTCGTACTTCCTCCCTTCTGTTCGGTAAATTTAAATGGTAATCCTGCTTGAAAATTTGAAATTCAGAATTGAAGTTCATTCTTAGCCGTAGAATATTTTGAAAAACAGCGAACGAAGCACGATCGTTTACATATATTTTCCTGTTCCTTTTGATGGTGAAGGAAAATTTGCTTTCGAAACCAACCATATCTCTTCGAACTTCCCGGGAAACTGTTTTAAGAAAATAGCATCGTAAATTTATTACATTTGCAATGTAAGCTCGTATGTGGACTCAGAGATACGGAAAACATTCGTTATTTATTATTACTATTTCCTTCGTGTACAATTTTCATGGTAGATTCAGAACAAGAAGTTAATATTCCAGGAAATCAAACTAGTAGAAATAAAACAGTAAATAGTCAGAAAAGTGGTACGTGAAAGTAAATAGATAAACAAGTAGAATAGACCAGTGCGTGATCAGACAAGTGGAATAGGATCATAAGTAGTGCAGTAAGTGGTACGTTGCTATAAATGATCAGACAAATAGAATGAGATCGTATAGTGTCAGGCAAGCGTTATGGGATTGTATTATCCATGGTTAGACGAATGGATTGTGGTTATTGCTGGTCAGACAAGGAGAATTGGACCCCAGACAATTAGAGCAAGTAAAATAGGAGCATAGATGGCCAGACAAGGGAAATAGAACAGTACGTGATCAGAGAAGTGGTATATTGTTATAAATGGTCAGACTAATGGAATAGTTTCGTATGTGGTCAGACAAGTGAAACAGTGAGACACGAATGAAATCAGAATTATTCACTCTGTATTAATTTTCATTTTAATTAAGAAAACCATAATGATCCTCTAAATTTTTAATCGGTGGTTATATAATTATTTGAAATTTTATCTCTTTACCTAGCAATTCGACAAAATGGTACTCAAACGAAATAATGGTCACAGAAGACCATCTACCCAACCGAGGATTAAACGAAACAGATCTAGGTTAGATTTGGGTTAAGGTTTAGTCCGCCTGGGTACATTAATTCAGAGTAGATAGCCAGTTTCTCAGGAGTGCTAGCTCCTTTAGTTGAAAGCTGAAGCTGAAGTCGTCGCTTCTGACGAATCAACAGTTGTAGCACGAAGCCGTCGTAAACGGGTTGCGCGGAATTATGAACACGGTTACAACTGAAGCAACCGTGGCCATAATAAAGAAGGTTTCCCGTTCGCGAGAGGGTTGAGCCCCTCTGTGGATTCGAGGAGAATGCCGCCGGTAGATTGTGCTTCGTGGCCAGGAATTCGTGGTCGTCGGCAAACGCGTAATTAGTTTGGACCGAATAACGCAGTAATTAAGCTGGTTTAACTCCTTTATCAAGACAGAGGCTCGTCTACCTTGGCTTTCTAACGGCCGACTCCCTGCGGCTTCTTGCTTTCTACCTTTCCTCCTCAACGAATTGCCACTTTCGCTTCTTAACTTCAGGTATATACGTACCATTGCTGCGGGAAAATTTAATACTACGTTTGTATCCGGTGAATGGAGAAGTTGGCCAATTTTCAATCTCCCTGGCAAGGAATAACTTTTCCAAAGTACGTTTCTATGGAGCTTATAAAATATATAAATAAACTTTGGAATTTCGCCAATTTTACCTGATCACTAATGAAATTATTCTTCGCTATTGTCGTCTTTAAGTGGTTAACTAATAGAAATGGATGTTGACTTCGGAGTCAAATTTGAAATCCAATAAGGTTCGAATAGCGAAATGCAACACCATACTAGCTAATGATCTCTCAGCTGTAAAACTCAATATTGGTGAGCCACGAAACTCGATGTTGACCTCTGTGAACGGTGGAACCTGATACCGATAATCACCAAGTAGTAGAGCTCAATAATAACCGTCGATCAACCGTAAAACTCGATACCGATAGTATTTCACCGGTGAAACTCATAATCAGTAATTTTCCAATCGAGAAAGTGAACGATCCTGAAATATCCGACATTCAGAGCTACTTGAAATTAGACTGTTGAAGGAAACTCGATAACGTTGAATCACGATTGAAAACATATAGCAAGCAAATGATTATACCTAACATATTTAAATTTTACAAAAAATTAAGAAAATTTTCTCAGGGAAATTTATTTCGAATGATTTGTAATTTATTTTCTGAAATTGATTCGAATGAAAAAAGAAGAAAATCATGGTTGACGACGGAAAATTACAAGAGTTACATCAGGGTCGATGACGAGTGGTATGCACGAAGGTAACGTGGTCGCAGTGTATAAAGAATAGCTCGTTAAGCAACGGTGCACGCTCGTTTCCTTGCTTAAACAGCACGAATGGAGGAAGCAACGAGGCTGCAACGTAACCGTTAACGATTTTTCTAACGAGAACGAAACTGGAAGGCAGCAAGCAAGCTTGCCTCGACACTTTTAATATCCACGGATCGTCCGTTTAAAACAAGACCATCTGCCGAATTATTAACTATCAATTATACGGGGCGGCTCGTCGATAACGTCGGAGTCGATTTGCTACGTAATCTCGTACGACGATACTTGCCCCGGGAACGAATTAATTCGCGCATCGATTCGATTATATTGCTACCGTGCAATTTGCGTTGTTCGATGGAACGACGGGATTGGCGATCGATTAAATGCATCACCTGCTCGGTTTTTGTTCTTCCTTGTTACGAGAAAAATTACTTCCTTCCTGTTAATTGCTTTTACATTAGATTTTATGCGATGATTAAAATGCAATTTTTATATAGAAGTAGGATTTATTGATTTTTATGAGAATAAAGATAAAATTGTGGCTCGATTTTGTTGAAAATTCGTAATTAAAAAATACAAAAATTAGAATTCTTACTAAAATTACTTAATAAATTACTTAATAAAATTCATTTTCTCCTCGATTAAAATACTAAATAATCAACACGTGTTCGTATTGGATTTTCCATTTTCTTCCAAGAACAGTTTTCACAGCGGTGTTCCAAGGAAATTCCAAGCAGCAAAATTTAATGCCCCCGTATAATGGAACAGGAAGTAATATTATAAAATTATAATTAACATGGCCGGGCGTGCTAAACGTATTATAATAGTATTTCAGTTTACGGGGCACCAGCCTTTTCACGGCTCGCAACATTGTCGGCGGTGGCAACCTTACAACCTGGTAATTTCATGTTATGACGATGCAGTGCTTAACGATTATGCAACTCTCTTGTGTTCCGGAAATTCCACTACTTTTCCTGACAGAAAGACTGGAATAAAATTTCAGGCGAGAGCGATATTAACACGCCACTAAATGCACAGCTACTGTTTAAACGAGTGTTGAAAAAATAATTAAAATTTAAGTAGATGGGGACTACAGTGGGTGATCAAATTATTAGAGCCACTCGCATAAATTGACGATTTTACATAAAAATTCTTAATTCTTAAATGAAAACCTTGTTAAACGAAGTTTTTGTTAAATTGTTTTGTAATCTTTTTTGGAATCTTTTTTATTTCTAGGCATTCTTTTCCTTTCGTTTAAAATGTTTAATAATAAATAAACCAAAGTACCATTGTGTAATATATTTTAGAGGCCTAGATCATAATTAATCCAAGGTTATCATCGATGAAATTGCTAATTAAACTAATTAAAAATGTTTAAAAGAAAAAAAACAATTTTGAGACATCCAAGATGAGGATGATTAAATGCATCCCTTAAAAAACGATATTCCATTAATTGAATGTACGGTATGTCTACTTTGTGACAGAATAAAATGACAGCAAGAGAAAATGGAACGAAGCTGCATCGCAATGCGGTTCAGCAATTAAAGTGTTGCTCGGGGAACAGTTTCATCTAACGACTCTCGCGTTTCCTTTTGTTGCAGATGTCAAGAATGTCCTGTGGTGAAGCCGACGTTCCTTTGCGGAAGCGATAATCGCACGTACAGTTCCCCATGCCGGCTCGAGTACCACAATTGCATCCACCACACGTCAGTTCGCATTGCCTGTAAAGGCTTTTGCGCCTGCAAAGGTAAGAATCATCTGGAATCGCGTGTACAGTCGATGAAAAAATTATGTCCATAAACCTTACCTTACCACGTTTTATTTCAAGCCTTCAATTAAATTATTAGGGGGGGTGTACAAAAGGCGCGCTGCAAGCTTATAGTGCGTATCAATTTAAAACAAGACAAAATCTCGAAGTTACAGATTTTCCAAATTATTTATCTAAAAATCCTTGAAATTCTATTATAGGGAAATTACAAACTTACTATGTCGAATATTTTGTAAAATATATTTATATTATACCATTTGAATTATTCTTCCCTCGACATACGAGACGTAGACACGAGACGTGCACCTTCATACGCTTTAACAGCGACATTATTGTTCTAACAGGCAATTATGAATATTCATGGAGGGTGTGCTTGTCCCTGGGTCCTGGCGGAGAGGCGCAAACACGGCTCCATTGTTAAACCAACTACACACGGCCGTCTATGAATAAACTAACGAATTAATTCCACGTGTAAAGTACAGAGAAAATGCTCGCCTGAATTCCGGATTACGAACGGTTCGTTAAAGTGATTAAACGGTCGCGAATGCGTGTCTGACCCGATTAAAGAAACGGGAAAAACTTGACTGGGTCAAGAAAGGAATTCATTGAACACCTTCGATTCGGTATCGACGCTTTGAATCGCGTTGAATCATTAATTCATCTCTGAAACGCTGATGAGCTGATGAAATTAACCCTTTGAACACCCCCGACGTATATTTACGTCTTATCTTATGATACATGTTCTCAATTATTATAAAAATATAAATGTTATTGAACCCGTTCGATACTGTTATTTAAAAAGAAAAAAAGAAACACCTCTCAATTAAAGTTCTTTCGTTTTTCGAAATAAACACGCGAAACAGCATTGTCAGTTTAGTCCAAATAAACTCGGAGCAATTAATAAAAATCACAACCAGAAGAGCGCATAAAATATTCGGAAATGTCCGTGTAAACGTCGACGGTCGTGTTTTATCGTGAAAGAGCGGGGGATGAGACGTCGACGCGTTTGTTTAAAAATCATCGAAAAAGCTGTCGGTTCGCAGCGAACGCGAATGCTAATTTCGGTCGGTTTGTTTGCGCTCCGGTTAATGAGCTACTCGTCGAGTTTCTCGTTCAATTTTCGACCACGTTAACGTGACAATCTTCGGCAACGCGGATTGAAAATAAAATAAGCTATTCAAAAGGGAAAATATCGCATTATGTATAATATTTGCCTAAACTTCTGCAATCTACTTATTAGTTGATTAAAGTGCAATTCGCTTGTAGACCAACTTCTATCAAGCTAAAAGCATGTTCCTTCGGCATAACTTTCTCCAGTGTTGGCTTCTCCCATTTACGGAAAGTTTCTAATTTCATGAAACTCCCCAATTTTGCGTCTCTCCGCGAAGTAGCTGACAATATTTTCATTATAAACACTGAGTAAAATTGGAATTGTTGCAACACAATTGTCGTTAAAAATTCTAATCTCGAGGATAGAGTTTACCTTTCGAAAATGAAACCTCTGCTAATTAACGTTGAAACGAATGTTTCAGCGGCGGATTTAAGAGCGCACAACAAAAAGATGCAAATGCAACGGCAAAAGTCCTTGACAGGGAAGATGAGGAATCGTGACATCACGCTTACCCCTCGCGTCTTCAATTACGACAATCATCATTATCAATACCTGAAGTACAGCAAACGCGCCAAGGTGAGTGTAACGATTGAATTAATCGAATTAATTGAATCACTGAAAAATCCTACCCTCCAATTGTTGCATCTCATGCGTAAATCCGTAATCCCCCAATTAAATAGGAAATTCAAATTGTGCAAAAGCTGCAAAAATGTTCGTTATTGGTCAATAATTTCCTGCAAAACCGTACGTGACCGAAACAACCAGTTTTAATTAAAACATTCCACCATCTGATCCTCTCGGTTTAAATTGACGCGCTGACGAAATGAGATGAAAATACCTACTAACGGAGAGATCAAGTGACCCTTCCCTTTCTCTAATAACCTGATATCCTGTTAATCCTAACAAATAGCCGTTGCAACAGTCGTTATTGTGCAGAATGTTCAGTTTAATTGGATTATTAGTCAATTAAGCAGAAATTATGACGTATAATCGTCTGGATATACGACACCGGTTGACAAAGGAGGTACACCAGACGGGTAGAAACCGGCGTAAACATGGAAACGAGGCTGTATGTCGGGATCAAACCGCGATAGATCGGGGACAGAAACAGGAAACAGGCTGGTGTAACAGTCAGCAATTTGATATTCTGCTGAATCGTGACTGGGAACGAGTGTATCGTGCGAATCGTTCTCGGTCGATCGGCTTTTCAAGCCTCGGTTCGATGGGATCCTTGGCTCCACCAGGGAACGTTTCATCGTCGTTCATTTTATTACAATGACGGGAATTCTGGTGGGAAATGATCTGAAAGAAATCAAGGATGTTGGACAGATTTTTTACGGGGCTTCTGAGAGCTCCACCATTTGAAAGTATTTTAAAACAAATCAAATTGGAAAATTTTTTCTTAGGTAATGATTCAATAAAAACTTGAGCTTTCTTTTAGAAATTATAGGCTTCACTTTCAATTTTATATTCTAATTTTTAAAAGTAAAAAAATGTTAAAAATTAACGAGGTTGTTCGCTAATTTGGAAACCCTTTTCAGTAGAACATAGATTTCCATCCCAACAGGGACTGGAATGTTTAAATAATAAATTTTTTTAAAATCTATTTCCTACCAATGCAAGGTACAACAAAGCCGTCGTTCTGATTTATAAGGTACATATAGGGTGTCCCAGCATCGGTAGTACAACCGAGGAGGGGGGGATTCTACATAAAAAAACAAATCGAGAATAAAGAAAAAAATTATTTCATTTGAGACTTCGTTCTTAAATGGATGGATCTCGATAGAAGTCATATGTCATTTATAAGTAATACTAATTACTAATATCATTAGTATCACAATTAGTAGCACAACCGGCAGCATTTCCAATAATTTTTGCATTAATAAAGTAAGTTAGTAACTAAATTACATGTCTTATTTTCATTTAAATCCACTCTAAATCCATAGGTAGAAATAAGTAATACTTATAAGTGACATATGACTTCTATCGAGATCCATCCATCTAAGAACGAAGTCTCAAATGAAAAAATTTTTTTCTTTATTTTCGATTTGTTTTTTTATGTAGAATCTCCCCCTCCTCGGTTATACTACCGATGCTGAGACACCCTGTATAAACAGATTATAATTTCATTTATTCATCGGTCTTTGGAAAAACCGCGTACCGTGAATATTTCACGGGGGTCGTGTTTAATAGCGCTGCTCTTACTATTCGTATTAGAAGCGATGAATTATTTAACTTGGAATCAGAGATTCTCGAGGCGATCAGCATACTGTCAAGCTATATTGCAAAATAAATCTGGACCGAGGGGTTGGAATCGTTTTAACCGTTCGCAGCCACCCATCCCCTATGAACTGGACTCGTTATCGTATTTCATTCCATGGAATACTAGAATTTCCGCCGGCGTAAGATTCCATGCAGTTTGAGTGAAAAATATGATATTGAGGAATATCTTGAGGATACTTTAATATCCTGAATTGTTTTTGTTTGAAATAATATAGAATATTAATTTCTAACATTTTAAGCTGTAATTTCTAATTTTTTAAATTCTATAGGTAAATTTCATATTTCAGAATTTTAAACTTTAGAGAAAGATTTTAATTTCTGCGCCTTTAATTACAAATCATGAAAAAAACTTTGTGAAAATTGTTCTCGAAAGTCTTTAGATAAATAATACAGTGATTTAAGAAGTTTTACTTATTGATTTGTCGAGCAACAAGAGGTTTAAACGCTATAGAATTTCTTTCGACGTGTTCGAGTTTCACTCGTGCAACGATTTACGCGAAATACCTATACTTTCTGAGCTTTCTCCACCAGCGACCTTGTAATTTAAGGTCGAAGGTAGGCCATGCCACAGAACCGCTCGATAAAACACTGGCAATGATAGAAATCTTACGAACAGGGGTGGAAGAATCACAAGGCGCACCCCCTGATTTACGTAACCGAGTCGATTCTGCTTACAACCTTTTCCTCTCCTTTCCTACCCCTGTCTTTTTTCTTTCCGTTTATTCCTTTTCCTGGAAATTTATGCATCGATTACTTTCACGATCTTCATCCCCGCATCGCGTCGATTCGATGGACCTTCGGATTCGAATCAGATGGATCCATTTATCTGAACCTCTGTTTCCAATTTACTTTGTCTATCCTTTTTCTTCTTCCTTTTATTTGATGCGCCTTTTTTAAATCTATTATAGAAACGATAAGAAAAAGATATAGAGAGAAAAAGGGGTAAATTTTAGAATTATATATTTTAACAATTGTAACTGTATTTTTGTAGAATTTGAATAGTTGAGAATTGTATGGCTGGCGAATAGCCGGCATATTCTGTTTTCCTCTCATCCCTCGTGCAAACATTTCACACCCCTCGAAAGACGATTTCAATCCCAAAGTAACGCAACAACTGCATTTTACCCTCTTCCGTTCCGTGAACTTGATACACGCACCCCTTTGTTGTTAAGCTAAAAACAAACTGAACCCGCCACCCTCTCTGATCCTGTTTCCCGCTCGTGTTTACCCCATTTCCGCCCTTCCGTCTGTATAAATACGCGGTACACACGAGGGTGGTATCTTTCGAATCGAAAATCTGGAATGTCCCGTGTCAGACGAATCGTAATTTCCTGAAAACGTTATCTCTGACGGGGTGATAACATATCGTGAACATGATACGTGAAACACCGCCCGATACGAAAGGAAAGAGGATCGCTCTTGCTCCAGTCGAATTTATTAATCCTTTCGACGTAGGAAATTCAATATTCTTCGAGAGATGAAAAGAAAAACCGACTCTGAAAGATGGTAAATTCTAAAATACATTTATCTTGAATTTGAATTGCAAATACGTATTAATTTACTGGATGCGAAATATATGCTTCTTAATCCCAATTTTATGGGTTTAGACACGGAATGCGAAATTTATGCTTATAAGTCCTTGTTTTGTCGATTCGGTCGCTGGCAAGGCCGACCCTGAGATTTCGGCGCTCCGAGGCGAGCTAAGTCCCCCATCTTGTCGGTTCGTCCATCTTAAAAAAATGATTTCTCCTCAATAAATCCGTCAAGTGATATTAAATATTTCACTTCAATCGTATTCCCGACAAACAATTCGTGATGCATAAATTTCATATTCGTCAAACAAGCATTGATATCAGAAAAGCCACGGTTGTCAGACTAACGGAAACTATTCCCGAAGAAACTTATGATTTACCGACACAACACGCTAATTCCCGATTCTGCTAGGGGAATTTCAGACAGTTCCGACCACGTACACAAGGAAGTTCGCCTCTCCGCGTAGACGTTCACTGTTGCTAAACTTTTATTTATTGATATCCTACCCTTCGTTCTTTCCCTTCCACGTTATTTATTTCACCCGCCGTACCGGCCGCCTTCAGTATTTCTTTCTGTCTCCGGTATTATATATACGTATCTCTTGCTACGAGGAGCAAGTGAATATTTCAAGGAAGCGAGAAACTCGAGAGTATTTTAGTATTTACAGTAGAAGATTCCTAAGGGGTTCGTTTCGAGTTTCGTAATGAATCTTATTCTGCGTTTGTCAAGCATCTTGAATGATAATTTTCATTCTGGTTTCCTAGCCGGAAATTTCTTGGCCGAAGTAGGAGGAGCGGTTCAAGTGTAATCTTCTTCGAATAGGAAAAGTTAGCTCGTTACCCGTTGAAATGTCTGATTTTCAAATGTAAAATCATATTACGTGGTGTAATTCGATGTGGCAAGAAATGATAAATCAAAGTGTAATTTACAAACAAGTCATCGAAACAACTAATTATAATTAAAGAATTGGTATATTAAAATTTAATTTATAAACTTTCGTCAAAACTGAGCTATTTAAATATAATAAATAATTATTTTAACCGCAATATTATAAATATCTTGAGAATTATAATAAAATTTCTGTTGCCGATGAAAAGCGTCGGGTCGCAGGAGTTAATATACGAATGAAAATTTTCTTCGAAGACAGAAATAGCGAAAAGAGGGTTTTCAAAATTAGCCCCTTTGAGAAGCGTAAAATAGCCATTATCGAGGAAGTAAACGAGATACAGTGTACAGAAAACTCGTGGACCGTCTACAAAGAGGAACTAGGCGAATTAGGAGGGACAATGCGACAGATTTTCAATTTAAAAGCTTCTCGAGGGCGAACAACGCGACGAAAGCTTTTGTCCAATAATTCCTCCACCTCCTTCAAGCCCCGTATTCCTTCTGGCTCTTGTCATTTGAATAGATTAGTCGATTCAATGAACATTTCATCGCGCGTTTTGCTCGCCGCTGTCTTCCATTCTCGATTTTCAATGAGTTTTCGCTTTTGTCTTACTTACTGGAATATCCTTCCCCTCTTTTTTCTCTCTTTCTTGTTATAAAAAAAAAAAACGACAACGTCACAACGTGAACAAAAAAAATAGAAAGGGAAGAGAATAAAAAAAAGCCACGTCGAGAAGTGGAAAGGTGTCTCGTTAAAAGTTCTGTTTCGCTGACAATAAGCCGGGATTTTCGTGAGCCGCGACACGGGCGTGATGCAAAACTTTTCCCTTTTTTTTTTTTCGTAGAGAGAGATACTTTCGCTTGAAATTTAATTTCACCGAGGATCCGGGATCGATCGTGTCGGAACACGGGAACGTTGAAAGTTTTCCAACCCTCCCTCGATTCGTGGACCAGAGAAGAAATTTTAATCGAGCCAACCGATGACGTTGCGCAAACAACTGTCTACCATCGACTTATTAATTTTGACCCGTGCTATTGTGCAAGTTTATGGAAAAGTTTCCCTGAAAAGTTTCGAGACTGTTTTACTTATCGAACGGGCCAAGACAAACACTTTTTTTTCCCTTTCGACGACTTATTACCTTGAATCAAAGGGGCAAAATTATTAGGGAATTTAGAAATTTATTAAATAACGAAAAATAAAATGTTGCTAATCTTCTTATTAATTGTGCTAAAGAACGAAGGGTTCAACTCTTATCAAAAATCGACGTCGATCCCATAGAAGACAAAAATTAATTTCGCTTTGAAGAAATTCAATTTTAATTATCCAACCCGTAAATCCTTGGATTTATACGTCGTAGCTCTGCTGGTCCTGACGGAGAAAATAGAAGGAAGGATTAGAGAGACAGGAGGAAGTTAGCTCTGGGCCCCGGTAATCAGCGGTCGGTTTTGAGATCTGAAAATCGATCGTGGATTTCCTTTCGAGGATCTTAATTAATTCCCGCGATCCCCTGCCAGCAATTTTGCTTTTTTCCTCTTCGACAACGTGCTGATCTCCACACTTTGACTCTGTGATCATCAGCGTGGCGTCAGTAAATGCGATTTCCACTCTAATCGACTATGTGTTCCTCGTCTCGCGTTTAAATCCTTCAGAAATTACGATCCTCCTTTCCTCTTGAAATTTATCGAGAGCAGGAGTTAATCGTTCCCTTGGGGTAAATAATTACCGCTGACGAGAAGTTTCATTAATTCAACTGTATCCATACCACAAACTTAATTAAACAAAGTACAATAGAGTGAAAAATATAGAAAAGAAATTGAAATGTTGCATCTTTTCAAAAATCAGATATCAGTAACTTTTTTTTCTACAATTTAGAATTTTTCAATTAGAACTGGCATTTCTTTCTCAGAAACAGAAAGCAAGGTAAATAGAAAGAAAAGTAAGAATAAATTACTTAAGGAGATCGAAGATAAACAACCAATGGAAAATGGGAATGGGAATGAGAGGGACACGGAGAGAAAATGAGCAAAGAAAGAGAATTTAATTCGAGAAGCTGTTCGAAGTGAAATTAATCCTAGGGAGCCTTCTTAAATTATTCCTTGCCACGCTGGTAATTAATACTTATCCAGTCTTAGTTTCTTTATTACGTTGGAACCCTTTGGAAAATGAGAGGTAGAAGGGGGTTGAAAAAGAGGGATAATTCTAGCTTTATTGACTTTTCCTTGAGATTAAGGGCTGGTATAAACTAGTTTCTAATTAATAAAAAAAAATCCAATTAATACTTCTTTATGGACCATGCGGAGTTATAATCGTATCTCAGAATAAATGTAAAATTCTTATACATCATTAAAATTATAATGGTAATCTTAATATCCTTCAATTATCTATTATTCAGTGTCTGACTAAGCATCATTATTTCCACTGTGTCTCTTTTGACTGACAAGTCAAAGTTATTAATCAATTAAAGTTTTAATATGTCTGAATTTACGTATCTACTATTTCTACTGCAGCATTGAAGCTTATTAACTTTTAATAAGTTTCTTTTAGTTTCCAAGCTTTCAATTTATTAATATAATATAATATTTTATTTTTTAACAAAATTTCATGCATCAGTCACTGATGAACTCCTATAGCAGGCAAAACGTAATTGCTATATTGTGTACAGACCTTAAGTTTAAGTATAATGTTGAAGTACTTCCGTGAGTCTATGTACGTAGTCGAGTCTTAGGGGTTGCAACCGGCCGTAACGATATTACAGCTCTTCGTCGTCTGGCGACGCTTTCCGTCGGATCGATGGAAAAGACGCCTCGTCTGGGCTGCTTGAAAATACGAACCATCGACGTGGAGGGGTTACGATCGACCAATGAGAGACGTACAACCATCGAAGGATACTCGATGTCCTCGTAAAAGGATCTAAATTCCATCCTTCGTGCCTACAAGCATAACTTTTCTTAAACGTTTATTAATCAACATCCGATTTACTCATAGTGACCAAAATGAATCTTCCCCTCTCCCAAGATGTGGACTGGCCCCTCACCATCCTAAAATTTTAACATTCCAAAATTGCAGAATTCCAAAACTGTAAAATTCTAAAATTCTAAGATTCCGAAATTTCAGAATTCCAGAACATTAAAATTTCAAAATTTTCTAAGACACCTAATCCACCACAGAAGAAAATCCTAATTACACCAGTGTAAATAATTAAGCTTCAATTAATAACCCAAACATTATTCAGTACCTGTAAATCCATATAAAATGATCCTTGATCAACAAAATTTGTTTGAGGATCAAACACAGAAAATTATAAAAATTTTCAAGCGAACAGTTGCGCGATGATTAATTACAAACAAAATATAAAGCATCTGCCTATTCAGCAACGAATCCCTTCGTTTGCAGCAATTATATAGGCGACGAAGCAATTTTTGCAACAAGGAATCATGCAACGAGAGGAAATTAAAATTCAACGGAACGTTTAATTAATCCAATTCGATACGCGGACACGCAACGGCGCGGCGTTGTAATGTATTTTCAGAAAAGTGAATCGAATGGTTTTTTATGTTTGTTCCAGGTACTGGCTGGAAACAAGTACGATGACAAACATCTGATGAGCAATGAAGTGATGGAGAAAACACCGTCTCCATTGAAATCGACGTATAATTCCCAATCGTCGCGGAACTCTGATTGTCCACCATCGTCGAAACCTGCTATGGCGAATCGGCTGTTGGATTGGTTTTCTGTTGTCATGGCAGACTCTAAACATCGTCGTCCGCGTCCTAAACCAAAAGGTGAAAAATTTAAAAAAAAAAAAAGCGAAATATAAAATAAGAATTTCATTTACTTTCATGGGTAATCTTTTGATACACACACGATTGAGTTCGAACACTTGAAATTATCCCAATTATTCGAAATTGAACAGTCAGAAATGACCGAACAAAGCATGACCGAAGTTGGATACACAACAAACTAATTACTCAGCACGAAAGGAACGGACTTGTCTGGACATTACGGTGCCAGGATCCAGCACCATAGTTCGAAACTATCTCACGTTGGTGCACGCTACTCGTTGCAATCGCTTTCGTACCAGTTCAGAATTGTCCCGTTAGAATGAATCGCTTCCCGTCGTGATCTGCCACGATTACTTTGCCGTGTCTCTCGTGAAACTTTCACCGTAGCATCTCGATTCCTCCTTCTACGTGACTTTACAATCAACCCTATGACAAGAGAGATTAATGAATTGATGAGTTATAGATGTTCGGTACTGAACAATCACCTATTCTGAAAACTGGTAATTACGATACATTTTTAAATAAAAACTTATTAGGACAGAAAATAAACGATATGAAAAATGGAAATTCGTCGTATCCTTCCAGTACCAGGATATGAAAAAGGGAAAATATTAAATAACAAATTTTTAATTTTAGTGTACAATTTTCAAGCTTCCGAAGTTAAACAAGTTGTAGATACCGGAATGTCTACAACCTCTGTTCAAACTACACGACATTTCTATTTCATTTTATTCCATCGCAAAGAGAAGCTACCATCGAAATTCATATTTCATTTTTCCACCGTTTCCAGGTCACTTCCCAATCGGTTGCCAGAGCGAGGTCAGGTGGATGTTCGGACATTTGGACAGCGACAACGATGGCCGATTGTCTCTTTCAGAGTTGTATGGACTCGAACACGATCAGAACGAGCCTTGTCTGAAACCGTTTTTGGATGGTTGCGACACCGACGGGTGAGGAACAAACTGTTTCATAAACTTTTCAAACGTTTCGTTCACTTTCACGTCATTCCATTTGCTTGTAAATCATTAAACTTCGCGTGAACCAACAAAATAAATAAAAAGGAGAACCAGAAGAACTCTTTCGTTTTTTAATACCTTCGAGAGGTTTGACGCTCGAACGTAATGGGTCTCAAGCGTACGTGCCCATAGAACCGAGTGGCTTGGTTTGTTGAGAGGCAGACGAACGTGTGTGAAATTTTCATTTGACGTCGATTGATTTCTGCGCGAGAACATGGAAACCGGATCTCTTGTAGTTATTATTTCATCCCTTATAAAGCTGCAGTAATGAGAAATTAAAAAGATAAAGAATTACTTTAATTATATATAATTATACTGAATTATTAACGCTTTGATGACTGAATAAAATCACCAGTACCCTAGATTCCAATTTTTATCTTTACTTTTTTTTTTAAATTTCTGCAATGTTATTTACCTTCTCAACGTTATGAACTCATAAATAATGATATTACAATATTTATATTATTTAACATTTTCAGAGACATCTTTGTAAGTGGTCCAGAATGGTGCGGATGTTTCTCAAAGGCTGAACGTCCCTGCGCCGCAGTTCGCAAGCGATCATCCCCTGACGTGGCACCCGCTTGTGATTCCCGAGGGTACTACCGTAGCACCCAGTGTCATCGTGCTCTTGGACTGTGCTGGTGTGTGGATCCTCATGGTGTCGAGTTCGCTGGTACTAGAACACGTGGCAGCAAGCCAGACTGTGGTAAGCATTTTTTTTTCATAATAGATTCGCTTGATTCAAATTTATGCAATACTTAAAACTGTTCATTTATTTCAGACACGATCGTTAACAAGATCAGCAACGGAGGATTGAAGACGAACAGCGTGGACCTGGACGACGACGAAGACGGTGGCACAGACTCCGCCCAGGATCTCGAAGGATCAGCCGATCAACCGTTAGACTTTTAGACTCCTTAGAATCGAACCAGTAACAGCAACAGCAGCGGCAGTAACCGGAAGCAAAGCACCTTAACGTGATATCGAACAGCCGGACGACGAGGTTCTTCTTATGAAGAAGAATTTGGGATAATCTCGCTCGATCGTCCGCTGGTTTTGAGTATCGCCGTGGTCATTGGAAGTGTCTTCAAAGAGTCAACAGCGACGGCTGCGTGAGCCTAAAATCAGTTCGAAGAGCAACGAAAAGCAGGAGGATAAACTAGCAGCTAATACCCTGGCATCGTAATTGTACCTTGAGTCACATAACCGGTCCATCCTTAATCCGAATATTAATCGTTAATTTTACCTTCAAGAAAAAAATAATAATAGTACATGCTTTCTGTCGAATTAATCCAAATTGAGCTGTTTAAGAAACACAAGTGCCAAAAGGGTTAAGAAGCTGCTGAATCAGAGAGAATCTCCTGACCACCAGGAACCTTAAACAGTGCAATAACCGAGGGGGTAAACATCAGTGCAATAGAGTACGATAAGCGTAAACACCTTTACATAAAATGTCCACGACACGAACTATACATATATTTATGCGTAAAAGAAACTAGGGGTTTGGGAAGAGATACGCTCGCACGAGGAAAGGAGAAAAACGATGCAACAGGGAACAGGAACAAAAGCTCATCCTCCATCGGGTAAAATTCACATGTCCACTCCATGACGCATAGAGATTACGATACCTTTAACAAGAAAATACAAAGAAGAAAGACGTAAAAAATGATATGAAAATGAATGCTCTATGTAATTATGATTTCTAATCGCGTTAGATTAACAGTATCTCGAATTGTAATGTCTAAGCATAATGCATATATATATATAAATTATATATATGATACTGTCTATGACTTTACGATAATACAGCGGACGAAGACAAGCTGGCTGAGAGAGAAAATCCCGGCTGATCGTCAGCAGACACGAAACGCATCTAACACACTCTTTAGAGAGGTGCACACGCTTAAAGATATAGAGTTATCGGAAGTATTCGCATAATCCGAATCACAAGGATAGTTTTAATTAAGCACCTACTAAATGATTATTCGCAGGAAATTGTACGTCGAACAACTGGATAGATAAGTCGCGTCACCCACGCTTATTTATTTCCTTCCACGGTAAAATTACTATCCTTATACATTTTTCTTTTTATTTTTCATTTCTCTCGTAGCCATCTTGCGTTGCGAGATTTAGTGTAAGATATACTGCATAAAAGAATGACCTATTTCGTACTCGCTAACTACTAAATCGTCGCAGTTCAATCACGACGGTAAACGATTATGATAGTTCATTCATCCGGATCACGAGTACTCTTTGACTTCATTGGGTTTGATGGAACAGTATATGTATTATTTGTGTTGAAAATCATCCTTCTGTTACTATTGATGATTTTATGTTCAACGTAGAAACTGATCATGAGTTTGTACATCAACCCGTCGTGATTTGTCTGCATTTACTGTAATTATAAGCATTTTTACTTACGACTTTTACTTAACGAGTGTGTGGTACACCGTAGGTACTAGAATATAACATGTAATCCGTAGAAAAACTGATCGGTGTGACTATGTGAATATGCCCTAGTATTAGAAGGCAATTTACGTAGGAATAGCCAACGCAAATTATACGTATCTCTCATCTAGAAAGGAATAACATTGACATTAAGTTTTTACGCCTAACGTATGTTTACTTTGATGCATCCATCAAAACCCAGTACGTTTAACGCTCTGATATATTGTTAATTAGGAAGTACTTTGAATTTTAGTACTTATTCTTATCGAGAAGCGAGATTTATTATATTCTTCTGCAATACACTTAATATAGAAAGGAACGCCGATAAAATATATTTACACCGATGGTAAGTACTGCGTTTTATTGTTTCGCATAAATTGTATTTTAGTCGCATCGTTTGGAAGCATTAAAAGTATATAAAATAAGAATTCGTAGAAATTCACCGTGCCATTGCATTGGTTTACGGGAAACCTAATTCGCGATGAATTATTAACTCTTTGCTATTTGGAGCGCAATTTATATTCCCCCTGAATTATTATTATATTGTCGACTTATAGATTAACGAGCATATTAACTTTCAAGCAAACCGTACATAGTTTTACCGAAAGTCTTGCATATTGTATATACATAATTATATACAATGAAGAAAAAAAAATCGTCTATGATCTTCGTACAGTGATGATTTTTGTAAGGTATGCACCTGGTCAAAGCGTAAAGAATTTTTACTTCATTCCAGAGCTACTATTAATATTTCACCAAACTGGTATTGTACATGTGGCTGTAAGAATTCTTTATGAATAAAGATTGTTGTAGAAACCTGGGAGATGGAGTAATTCCAAACCTTAGCGATTTTAAATGCATAAATTTCTATATTTTGAAAAGACCGGCAAAAAATAGAAATTTGTGACACCATCTACTGTTTGGTGCTAAAAATCAGCTTTCTACCTTCACCGATAGGTAGCGCAAAATAGATTCATATTTGTAGTTCTCCACTTCAACACCAGGCGTCGCTTTTTATATAATGGCGGTATAAAAAACACCCTGCATATATTCAAAATTATCTTTCACATCTTTATTCAAAATATATATATTATAAATGACAGATTCTTTAATCAGAGTTCACATTACAAATGGTATAAAAACTGGGAAAGAACATCCATGTACATCCTTTATTAGTATTTGAGCACAGCTCTTAAACTGTAATGAGAAAAAGAATAGATTTTAATGAAGAGATGGTAACAGTATCTTATTAACACTTACCAGTTGCCTGAATGCAATAAATCGAATCCTTCATTGATCTTTTCAAATGGAAAAGTATGCGTGATGAACTCATCAAGTATTAACAATTTCGACAAATATTCTTTTACCAGTTTAGGTACACTTTCCTTTGATTTCCAACCGCCAAATGCGGTTCCTTTCCATACTCGTCCTGTTACCAACTGGAACGGACGAGTACTAATTTCTTGACCCGCTGCAGCGACACCCACTATAACGGATGTGCCCCATCCCTTATGACAAGATTCTAATGCAGCTCTCTAAATAAAGAATATTTCGTAACTCAATTATCCTTCTTCATAAGTATCTAATATTAATCAGTAGAATCAGAACTTACCATGGTATTTACATTACCAACACATTCAAAGGTGAAATCTAATCCACCATCGGTTAATTCTATCAGGACATCCTGAATTGGTTTGTTATAATCCTTTGGATTAACAAATTCGGTAACTCCAAATTTTTTAGCTGAGAAAGATCTTTTTTTTATTTTTCTGAAAATGTTATATTAATAAAATCTTTGAACTTACCATACTCAAATTTACTGGAGTTAATATCCACTCCAATAATACGCTTAGCACCAGCTTTTTTGCAACCAAATGCAACTGCCAATCCAACTGCACCCAGTCCCCAAATAGCACATGTACTTCCAGGTTCTACTTTGGCAGTGTTAAGAGCAGCACCATATCCAGTAGGTACTCCACATCCCAGCAAACATGCTTTGTCAAATGGTGCAGTGGGATCAATCTGAAACATTACACATGTATTTTAAAGATAATGATAATTAATAATTATTGAACTACTAATGTGTAATAAAGTACTTTGGCTAGAGAAATATCTGCCACCACAGTATACTCTGAGAAAGTTGAACAACCCATGAAATGGGCAAGTGTCTGTCCTTTGCAAGTAAATCTAGAAGTACCATCAGGCATCACACCTTTCCCTTGTGTAGCACGGATCTTGCCACACAAATTTGTCTTTGGAGATTTACAGAACTTACACTCTCCACATTGAGGAATATACAATGGAATTACATGGTCACCTGAAGTCATAATCAAGAATGTAACACATGTTATAGTTAACAAATATAATAATAAATGATGGTGAAGTACCAGGTTGAAATTCTGTAACTCCTTCCCCGACACTTTCAACGATACCACTACCCTCGTGGCCAAGAATACATGGAAAAATTCCTTCTGGATCTAATCCATCCAAAGTATAAGCATCGGTATGACATAAGGCTACAGCCACAACCTTAATTCTTACTTCATGTGCTTTTGGTGGTGCCACTTCAACCTCTTCAAGTGAAAGAGGTTGCTTTTCTTTCCATGCTACTGCAGCTTTGCATTTAATCACCTAAATTCAAAATATGGATATCATATAATTCCATGCATGGTTTTCATCTTAATGAAATAACTGCTTATAATTATTTGTTAAAAATAATACGAAATGAAAACAAATACCTTTCCTGCAGTCGACATAATGAAAAATTTAGAATTACTAATTGACGACGCGAGACACAGTCGCAGTTGAATGAACAGAACAGCAAGGAATATTAATCTGCCGGGCTGCCGGTCTTGATATATTCAACGATAAAACGGAACAAATTCAAGGTCGTAATTTGCACACAGTGCTACATCAATGCTACTGACATCTAGTGTGTAATAGAAAATTACATCTCATAGTGGAGATGTTTCAGAACAATTTGAAATGAGTTTGACTATATAATATTCATTTCTTAATGTCAACATGATTTATAGCAATTTCAACGTCATCCAACATTCTTTTTCTTCATACTTATAATATAATTTTTATTATCATGGTATAAATTATAAGCAGGAAAGATTATGGTATTTTAAGGTGCCTATTAATGTTTATATATACTTATTTATAAGAAATTCATAATAAATTTGTATTAACAGCTTGAATCCATTATACTTTCATCGTAATCATTATCAAGGTTCATGATAGGTTTATGTAACATGACCCAGCATGACATTTTTTATAGATAGTATTTATTTTGTACAAAACAATTTTTATTATTGCCTTCATAACTTAGACTCAGAGATCATATTCTTTGTATGAATCACATTATATAAAATATAAACAGCTCTTAAATTACTGAATGTGAATTGAATATTACTAACACAAATATGCTACTCAAAATGTAGTATTTGGATGATTGTAATTAGCTCTAACACTACTATAGTACAAGAGATCAGATTCTTAAGAAACTTCTTTATATTTAAATAAATATGTATATCAAAATGCATCAAATTTGTAACACTAAATTTTATGACTATTCATTAATTGCTAATATTTATCTATGGACCTTTTTACCTAATCTTAACATAGGTAATGTCTTTATAAGAGTAATAAAATGTGCAACAGTGTAGCCAAGAAGAGCACCCATTACACATGGAATTGGCCAAACTTGCCAGGGTCTATCCCAATCTAATGGAATTACAAAAGCACCTAACCATGTACCCAAAAGGGTTGCTTGAATATTTGTTCTTATGGCATCCACCAAAACATTGCCTTTCTGTGATTGCATCCCTGTTAGGATTTCTACTGCACCATCTACACCTAAGTGCAGACTTGCAGGAATGAATGTAAGGCTAGTTAATGTAATTGTGAGCATGGTGGTTTCTTCATGGTGTGCCATTACAGGTGCACCAAACAATATAATTACAATGTAATATGCAAGAGATAAAAGAAACCCAACTAACATGAATTTAAAAACTTCCTTCAAATATCTGGACCATGTCCTTTTGGTCTTTGATGTCCTTAATTCAGTCCTCCCTATGATTGTTGACTCAGAATGAAAAATAGGGAACAGTAACTTTATTACTTCTGCGAAAAGTAAAATCAACAATACTGGAATGAATTTGTACTTTCCCACATTGTACAAGTTGTCATTTAATTTCAGTAATATCAGAATACCAGGAAAATAAATGCAAGTGAATGAACAGTATGACAATAACAGTCTTTGGCCCAATTTGTTTCCAACGATCATGATGGTTATTTAACCTGTAATAAAAAACTTAATTGTATTTTTATTTTATAACTAAAAAGAAATTTACATACATTTAACAATTTCTTACTTGGTTTAAAATAATACTGCCTAATTTAATGCCCAATATAGAAGTATGTATACTCGATATATCATCGTGTTTTATTATTCCTTCTCTAAAATGTCTAATAAAGTTTTCATGTATATTATTCTTTAAAAATGGTCTAATATCGAAATGCATACAGGAACAAAAATAACACACAAGTTAATTTTAATTCTTCATTAAATTCCACAAAATATAATATTCTGATTCAAAAAAAAATAGTCATATAACTATATATATATTTCATTCCACGAGAGTTCATAACTAAGCCGCGCAGGTTGGAAGATGGTGGGGGAACTTAACGAGCCTCGAAACTCCCATTCCGCTAATTGCTTCCCACTTTATTAACCGCGAGTTTAATATACGGGGTGAAACAATAGTACGGTTGAATAGGAAGAATACAAAATGATACACGTGAGTAAAAAACCGTGCTACCCGTCATACACTCTAAATGATGCATTTTTGCATAGATGCACCACGTGGAGGCGCTTCAGCGACGCTGTGCGCAAACGTATGGGAGTGGGAGTATCGCCAATCAGGGCAAAGATGCGTACTGGAGATGCGTAAAGAACGAAAACTGGTCTTTTCGCAGTTATGGACTCTGGTGAACTGTGGTATAAGTACATATAGCCACATGTAGCACTGCATATAGCAATAAGAGATCAGCTGTTACAACGTTTATACAAGGAATGATCAAAATTTATGTGACGTTCAAGCATTTCTTGTTCCTATATTAATTATCATGGGGAAGAATAAACAAGCTCAGCGAACGAAAAATAATGCAAGAGTAAGATAAAATTATATCGATGATAAAATATAAGTTTATGAAATAGAAAGAATGTTGTAGGTTAAACTTCATTATTACCCAAATTTTCATTAGTCTATCATTTTTTCACACTTCTACAGACAAATATATGCTTCATTCTTTACAATGAATTCTTTATAGTGTTGTTAAGAAGTGTTGTTAAGATTTGTTTATATTGTTTGACATATGATCTGTCAAATAAACAAAAACAATATTGGTATATTCTTTTTTAGCCATCTAACAGCAGCAGAAGTGCAGAACTTCTTGGCAGTTCAATACCAAACTTTGTTGGTTTCTCAGCTGTTAAGGATGGGGGATATGTACCTGTATTACCAGGTTTATCACTTTGCAACACAAATGAGGTTGAATTGAACAATGTTGATAGCAATTTTCAACTAGTATTGAAGAAAATGAATAAGAAAGATACAACAACAAAGTGCAAGGTAAGATATGATTGTTCTAATTGAATACAGAAATACTAATCAAAATAAAATATTACATTTTCAGGCTTTGCAAGAATTTGCTACTTTGTGTAAAGAAGCAGAATTATCAGCTGTTGAAGGAATGTTACCATTTTGGCCACGGTTGTATTGTGCCTTAGCTATAGACGTGGAACACAGAGTAAGAGAAGCTGCACAGTTAGCTCATGCAGCTGTTGTAAAACGTGTTGGAAGAGGCATAGCAATGTATTTCAAGCAAGTTGCTGGGGCTTGGTTTACTTCACAGCATGATACATATCCTCCTGCAGCATCAGCTGCTACTAATTCATTTAATGTAATTTATTATGATTGCTGATAAGAAAATAATGCAATTAATATGCATTTTATGATCTAAAACTTTTTGTATGTAGGAGACATTTCCAGAAAAGAAAGTTATCGATGCCATTGTGCATTGCCAGTGTGAAATCTTGACATATATCTGTGATAACATTACTGTACAAACTGCACAATCTTTATCTATACAAAAGTATGTTTCGTATTTTTCTGGAGAATGAAAGAAGCTATGATTACGAATATGTACTAACATATTGCTTGTTATTAGGAACCTCAATGCAGAAGAGATGGAAACAAAATATCAAAGGGTGCTGGTAGCTAGTTTACAAGGATATAGTGTTTTTCTAAGGAAAGTCCCTCTTAAAGAAATTGAAAAAATGATTGATATTCATCGTAAAATTATAAGTAACAACAAATTCTGGAAGTTAGTTAAGTATGATGCTTTTCCAGTTAAAACAGCATTTTTCAATGTATTAACATCAATCATTGAGAATGCAGATATGTTGTTACAAGATGAAAAGAAGAAAGCTGTAACAACTATTATGAATAATCTTGATGAAGCAGAACCTGCGTTACTGTCTGCTGTATGGGAATCTGTGCTTGTCACTATAAATAAAATACAGGTAAACGTTGTATTTTTATAATTAATGATATCGAATTACATATAATTATTTTCTTTTCAGGACTGGTATAGTCTAGTAAGTGTAGAAAAATTAGTATTACCGAAGTTATGGCGTGTTCTAAGAAGTGGAGGACAATGTTGCGCTAGCGTAGTTTATCCAAATTTGTTACCATTTGTTAGCCAATTTCCAAAACTGAATATTGATCCTCATCATTTGTATATGGATTTCTTCAGTAATATGCGACAAGGGTAAATCAATTAGTTAATCATTTAAATGCTGTGCATCGCGATATTCTTCATGTCGCAGAATATACTGAAACGTATTTATTTCTCAGGTTTTCTGTAAAAAGCGTACAGACAAGTCGTTCAGAAATGTTTGCAGTAATGACATCATTTATTGAATGTCTACGTTATTCTATTCTTCTGAATGTTAATAATCAAGATTTAAGCAATGCACTTCTCAAAGAACAGGTTTTTATTTTACATCGTCTTATAAATATTACCATGAGATATCTTAGATTAATGTTAATAATTAATCATTTCAGCTGATACCAGTTTTAGAAATGTGTTTAAAGGAAAATAGTCCTATGAAACAGACCTTTTTCTCTAAGATTACTCATTTAGTACGATATTGGAGTAAAAACCGGCACAATGAAGATTATAAATCATATCCTATTATAATGCAAAAATTTTGGTCCGAACTTGATAAATTATTCAATTTACTCATAGATGCACGTCAACACTCAGAAACGTTCAATATTGTGGACACAAACAATTCTCAGATTGAATTCTTAATTATATTAAAAACCGCGCCTGCACACGGTCGTAAAAATCTTAAAGTAAAATTCTCCAATTCAGAGGAAGATGAGATAATTCAACCTCAAACAGAAATTATCAGCACTGATATTGATACTCAATTCATTTCTGAACTCAATAACTTTGTCAACTCTCTATGCATAAAATATTTCAATCAAATCATTAAAGAATGTGAAAATAAATATATTGTACATTTAAACAAACTCATAATATGTTTTGAAAGTGAAGATCTTTTCAAGAATCTGTCAGAATCACTTAAAACGCAAATAAACTTTTCCAATTTTTATGAGCAAATCTTACGAAACTGGTTATTGGAACCATCAAAAGAAACTGAACACATAGTAGAATTAATATTCAATTTTATGAAGTACATGAATGATTCGGAGAAGAACGAAATTTTGAAGTCACTGACACAGGTAAAATACATATTTTTATGTAAATACGTACAGTTAAACGATATATGTTTATTCAATTTCAGTTGGAAGATATTGTAACATCAAGAAGCATCATACAATGTGCTCTCTCCAAAAAGCATAGAAATGATATGATAATAAAAAATTGGTGCTCTCAGTCGAAAATAACTAGCTTATTAATAGAAGTGGCAAAAGAAATTGCTTCCGGTAATTATACTGACTTAGAAAATAATCAGAAACTTATTCTGTTAGCCTTTGAACCCTCTGATGATGGCAGTAAGTATTTATTATTTATTTAAAAATTTAAAAAAGAAATTCTTAATATGACATTCAAAAATTTATGCATATTTTAGATTTATTGATAAAGAAAGAAGGACTTAATGAAGTTATATCTATACTATGCAATTCACTTCACGAAATAAACGAAACATGTTTATTAGATTTCGCAAAATTAATTTCTTCCATTGTTCCATTAACGTGGATTCATAAACAGTCAATACCTGGAGCTACACAAATATTGGAAACACTTTTCGAATTGCTTTCACAAAATTGTTTCAGTAATAATTCCAATTTTATTGATACAATGAGAGAGGTGTGGAAGAAAGGTCTTTTTGAAGCCATTCAGAAACTTTCGCCCACAGAATTTATTGATTTGACTAAGAAATTTGCGATTTCTATGTGGAGAAAAATTTATAATTCGTAAGAAAGTTCTTATTATCCTTAAGATTCTTTTATTTCGTGATTTATAATTTGTATATCAATTTCCAGAAATGAGGAACATGTTAAGGAAGTGATAGTGAACACAGCAGTCGATTTTGTTGAGATTATGATTGATAATAACATTTACACAAACGAGGAGTATACGAAAGAAATTATGTTAGCATTCCTGATAGATAATGATATAACAGTATGGATGGCTGAGGTAACTGGAATAATTGTATATGGTGAGGTGATAAGTGGTAAACTGTATGTATCATCTCTGGATCAAAAGATAGAAATTTATCAAAAGTGTACGTCTATTGAATTAACCAATAATGCGATAGTAGACAATACCGAGAACTGTTTAAAATGGGCATTATTTAATATAAACTTACTAAGTAATCTATGCTCAATATCTACTAATAAAATCAGAGAAGAAGAATCTGATGACGAGAAAGTATTAATACATAGTCTGAATTTACCGGGAGTGACAAGTTTATTGATAAACGTTATACATTCAATTATACTGGGACAAATTTATTCCTCTCATTACAAATCTGTAAGTGTAGCCCAATAAAAAGTTCAATTTCTATAATAACGACGTTCATACTTCATCAATTATTAATTTATTGCAGACCAAATGTTACAGTAACGTGAATAAAGTTCTGATGACTGTACAAGATAGTTTTAAACGGTTACAACAAATGTACATTAATGAAGAAACAGTCGACGATATTTTTGATCATATTAGAATGTAAGTATTTCTCTTTATATCATCAATCACTGATTATTTTATAAAACATTATTCCTTTTCTATATATTTATAGGAATAGTTCGAAGTATGGATGTATGTTATCTTATATATTACATTTTTGTTGCATTGAATTACATTTGGGCAAAGAACCTAAGCAAATATTTAAACATTATAAAATTAATGATATGTTTACTGAGAATAATGAAATGACTTTACAAGCGATACAGTGTCTATCTAAATTGCAACATTCTGACGATATATCAATATCGATGGATAACGATGTCTATGCTTTGATAGCAGCAAGAAATGTCTTCATCAATCAGGAAGATAATACAAGCTACTTAAATATTTTAGAAAAAGTAATGGCTTATGAAAAGGAAAACCCTTCGTTATTACTCTTCGATTGGTAATATATGGATTCATTAAATGATATAAAATTTATTAAATTAAATATAAAAAGTATATATTATTTTTGTAGTGATATTTCTGAAATATCATGGGAAAAGTTAAGTTTACCATTGGAGCTTTTACGATTGTTAACAGAACTTATTAAAAACGCACCTACCAAATTAACCCCGAACCATTGGAATTTTATTCTAATCTCTCTGGTTCTGTGGCAACTTTCAGTTACTAAATTAAAACAAAACGCTAATGATTTTAAGGTTTGCATTCAATATTCCACATTATTTAAACAACTACTGACAATAATTAATATTTATTCGTTTTCTTTTTTAATGTTACAGGTATCTGTGTTTGCAGTAGCCGTTTGTCAACTTTATTATGCGCTCCAGAATTTAATTAACAAACATGAACAGGAAGAAGTAGCAGATTTGCCACCAACGGTATTGGATGAATGGAAACAAGTGTTTGCTTCTGATATACAGACTGGAATTATTCGGACTTGGATACCTTATACAGGTATATTAATTATTTGTAAATTAAATATCAGATTAAAATATAATTGATTTCGTTTTACAGATTTATACAATGAGAAAGCAGTTTTGAAACAGGTTGTACTGTTAGATTACTTAGGAAAAGCAGTGAAAATGTTAAACGGGGACATCATTTTCATAGATCAATCACTATCGTTAACGGATACTGTTCAATTATCATTGCAATTACTTCAATCTCCTGTAGCCAGCATACAGTTGGGTGCTTATCATGTCTTAAAACATGCAGTACCAGAACTTGTTCGACTAGACAAAGTTTTTGTAGAGTCGGAAAACTTCGATGTAAATAATTTGAACATTAGGAAAATGGAGGATGTACTTCAAAACACGCAAAATATCGTGAATACTATTCTGATGGATTTCAAGTAATTTTTTTTCTAATACGTTTACAACATCGAGCAAAGTAGACTTCCGGGATAGTCACCAATTTTCCTGGGAGGCTTACTATGCTCAATAATGTATATAGAATGTTAATCTATATAATAACGTATAATATTTTATAGATTATGCGATACAGTCAGTTGTACCATTCAGCCATACACAGATTCTTATACATACACTGTAGGATATTTATTAACATGGGCTATTATCCTAGAAATGTGCAAAAATGCGCATGGTGATTTGCTCTACCAATATGCTGAAAGACTAAAGTAAATATTTTTGTACTATTTTATGAACAATTTCTAGATGTTCAATGAATATATATTAAAGATTTCTTATCCATGAATGATTTCAGGAACAACGTTTTCTCTAGTTTGTTGAATAACATATTTCGTTTAATGCCAGTGGAAATGCTTCAAGATAATAAGAACAAAAGTTCAAAAGTGGTAGAAATATTTTCCACTGAACCATCTCTCGATTTTGGAGGTAATAGTCCAACTATTTTTCTTTCAAATAAAATTCTTTTTGGAGTTCATTTATTTATTATATTCTACAGAGAGTTGGACCGAATGGAGATTAGACCATATAGTATGCTGGTTATACACAAACAGTTTAAGATATTTGCCAGTGTTGGTGAGACAATGGTGGAGCACTGCTGACAGCAGAGTTAGTGCTGCAGTAGACAAAATCACAACTCATTATGTTAGCCCTATGTTGTGTCAAGAAGAACTGCTTAATAATAAGTTACAAAATATTGAAAATATGCAAGTAAAGGTTCATCCAACGTTTCGCGAGGTTGTTGCCTTATATCAAATGGACGACACTAAATTAGAATTTAATATTGTTCTATCACCGAATTATCCACTGGGACCAGTTACAGTCGAACCTGGCCAACACGCTGGTGGTACTGCCAATTGGCGGAATTGTCATATGCAGTTATCCATATTCCTCACTCATCAAGTAATAATTCACGAAAATTAGATAAATTCATCCAAACATATATTCTAATATTTTAACTTTTTATTCTTTTTATAGAACGGATCAGTGTGGGATGGACTAGTATTATGGAAAAAGAATTTAGACAAGAAATTCGCTGGTGTAGAAGAATGTTACATTTGTTTCAGTATTTTTCACATAAACACATACCAGATACCAAAATTATCGTGTCACACATGTCGAAAGAAATTCCATACTGCATGCCTGGTATGTTTATTCACATAATTAGTATTCATAATTTCTATTAAACTTTATATGAATTGTTCATTCTTTTCTTTCAGTACAAATGGTTTAGTACAAGTCAGAAATCCACGTGTCCCATATGCAGGAACATATTTTAATCTACATGCTTATTTAAATTTGTTCCTTGTACATAGTAAATGCAATCATGCGGTGCATAAACCATATACATATATCTGTTGCATATTATACAGAATATTAATAAATTTGAATTTACAGTAAAAGGTTACAACAATATTTATAAAAATTATCTACAGTTATGTATGTTTTTAATTGTTTTCGCTGTAATTTAATTCAACATGAGTTATTGGAAAGATCGTTTCAAAATGATATCATTAATCAATTTACTCTTTATTTCGGGAAAAGTGTGACACGACTTTAAGTCGTCAACGACTTAAACAGAATACAAATATTACTCCAGATATACGATAAGATTACACCTGTTTTTAACCAGGTGCAGGAAAAAGATAAGTATCATTCGTTTTTGAAGTTCCAACCGAATCAGGTTTCAAGATGCCAGGTAAATTATACGATTTATTTAATCAATTAAACAAATTTATAGAAATTTACCTATTACACACTGTAAATATTTAATAACTTTGGAATTTGCAAATTAATTTAATTTATTAAACAAATTATTCTATTTATTTTATTCCACTTATTATCATTATAGACGTTCAAAAATTATTAATTATAATTATTAAAACGTAGAATGCGGCCGGCAAAACAACGGTGTGTAATAAGGTGTACTATAATTGCAATTATTCAAAATACAATTATTCTATTTTTCAACTTAAACTTTTTCCTCAAGAAGATATTATACATAACTTTTATAAGTGATCAAACCTTGCATAAATAATATAATATTAATGCAACTTATAATTTTTTCCGTGATGCACGAATCTAGAAATTCAAAATGAAGAGTAAACATGGGTGCAACGCGTCGCACAAGCTTTCTTTTCTTGTCAGTCGGCAAACTAAGTTCTGGAACAGTTTTGTTAAGAAATATCTTAAGTTTACACAATTAATAGTATATTCCTATAACATTAATAATTAATTATTAATAATTGTAATTAATAATTACGTATTTTGTAAACAAATTGGATATCGATAATTTATGTTACATAACTTCTGCATTCATTCGACGAATGTTCTTGGTCCTCGCCCTTAACGAACGAAGGTCTCTCAAAGACAAAACCCACCCCTGCTCGTATAATTAACTTGAAAATTAAAATTCAGCTGGTAGAAGTGAAATAATTAATCCGATTTAAGCTTACAGATGGGTTCACCGAAATGCACGACAAGGGGTACCGGATACTGCGGTCAGTGCAGGTCACGACAGTGATGGTACCACCATTTACGTCGGCAGGGCCTACCACGAAGGTGATATGCTTCCGGCCAAAGTGATACCTGAGAAAAATATCGCTTACGTGTGTTACGAGGGCAAGGAATATGGCAAACATGATTTCGAAGTAAGCAACATAATTTTTTAACGTTCCTTTTGTAATCTAATCTGATCGTTGTGTAAAAAACGAACGGTATCATCGTTTTTCTTTTCTTTATCTTCGCCGGGAGAGTTAAAACGATTAAGTTTTAACGCGGATATGTGAATCGATTTAATAAATAACAAAATACTTCTGAGATACACTTGATCTCCTGCTGTAACTAATCAGCCTATTAACGCACGCAATACGAAATCGAGATTTCGTGTCAAGGCAAGGCTGTTTTACAGAATAGGGATACTGTTTTTTACTATTTGCGTCCAGCTTTGGGCTTTGTTCAACACGCGATTGCCTCGAGAGTTGGAAAACATTTTAAAAAACACAGTTGTTCTTAATTTTGTGCAAGACAAGTTATATTTATTTTGTTATTAATTTCTATGCTCGGCACATACATTTGTACAACGGTATGTTATTTCTTAGAATCGTTTATACTTCTTTAATTGAAAATATTTGATCTGAAATTCTGAGAAGAGATAAGGAAGTTACTCTTCAAACAATCCACTTTAAATAGAGCCACTCTATCGATGGATCAACAGAAAGACTTATGGCTTATCTGTACAATCATCGTTTCTCCGTAACGTTAAAAACTGTAATAACTGATACGATGGAACGTTGAAAAAATGTAATTCTTCATGAAAATTATTTTTATTTTAACAGGTTTTGTGCAGATCTGAATTTTCATGGGAGGTCTGCAGCAATGGAAGCGTTCCAAGTAACGCGGTAGTCGCAGGACAGACTTCTGGTGGAGAACCTCTGTATGTCGGTCGTGTTTTCCATGATGGATCCCAAACAGTTGGCAAGGTCGGAGTTTACTATTCCTTTTATCGTACGGGAAATTCGTGTTTCCAGTACAAAGCGGATTTTAATTCGAATCGACGAGAAACGAATTCAAGAAGCACCATTTAATTTTAGCCTTCCTTTATTGCGATATCAATTAATACCGATGATAAAAATTCTACTGCAGTTGAAGATTAGATCTTTTCAATTTCATTTTCTTAGAAATTTCTTTCTGGGCAAGATTATGAAAAGGAATTATTTTTGCAGATCCATCCAACTCACGGATGCTTGTACATCCCCTACGCAGGAACAGAATTATCCTTCCAGGAATACGAGGTCCTTGTAAATAATTAAAATAATTCATTATAATAATTATGATTTATATTATAAAGCGCTTCCGACACGTGACTCACATTTTCATTTCGAAATTGTACCCTTAAAATCTCGTCGAAACAAAAAATAAAGTATTCCATTTTTTCCTGAAAATTAGGGTAATCTTTGGAATTTTTTTTTTTTTTTTTCTAATTATCCTGAAGTGTTTCTCGTTTTAATGTATTTATTCCAAAGAAGAGTGCTCGCAATTTATAATTGGTAAGTGTAATAGAAAAATCAATTTCTGTAAATTATTTTAGATTGTTTTAAATTAATAACACCGAAAATCATAGGGAGATTTGTAATAAGACGATCAATCAGAGCTGATTAAAGTCTGAGAGAGACACTCGAGGGTCGTTTCCTTCTGCTCCGAGTTCAAACACGCGTGGATAACGGATGTGCCGGTGGAACACGAAAACAACAGGTCTGTTATAGCTTTGAATCGAATATTTTATAGCATTGCTCGAATTACGAGCATTACTCACTTGACGACGTCATACGGCCAACTTGAGTGACAGGGCCGTAGTTGAATCCTAGATTCAACTTATGAGTCCCATGATTCTCCATAAGAGGAATGGTCCTATTCAAGAAACTTCCCCCCCTGGATCCTTCGTTTCTGTTCCTTCGAACGACCAGGCTTGGGGCCATGATTAATATTTATTTTTAAAAAATTGCTAATCAACTGGAACAACGTAACATTGACCGAATTTCTATGGAACAAGGTAGCTGCCGAAGGTCTAGAAAAATACTCAAGATCATCGAGCATGAACGAACAAACGTAATTGGCAATTCGTCACAATTGACCAGGCCAACAAAACGTGATTATGGGACCAAGACAGGTCAACCATGGAATTGATATAATACAATCTCTTTAATTTATCGTTGTAGGTGGCCACTGGTGACGGCCCTGTATGAAATAGGCTCCAGCCGTAGAAGATAAGACAGTCACTCGTGATTATTTTATCAACAAATTGCCACATTTAAACGGCACCTCGACTCTGGCCTACCAGAGATGACGATTTCAACGGTGCTCACTGTTTACGTATGCCTCGGGTCTTTTGGACAATGAAATTGGGGTCGAAATAGGTGGTTGTACGGTGGTGGTTTGAGGAAAAAGAAGTTCACATCCTCATGATCATTGTTTACTCATGGGGAATATCAATCAGTTGTCTTCCTTTGATTTTTTTCATTTAAAGAAGAAATTAAAATTTTTCATTTCCAAGGTTTTCGTGTACGATAATGTTAAAATTAAATTTATACTCTAAAATAAATAAAAAATCCAGATGACTAACTGTTATGGAACACGGGGAAACCTTATTACGAATTCTAAATTTTCTACTCCTAATTTCAAAATAAATATTTGGAGTTGGATCTTTAATGAAATAGGCACACTTTTGCTCAAAAGCTTGGAGCATTCTATAATTCCAATATGTTGAATAAAATGTTTATTCAAAATTGAATCAAAAACCAAGGTATGTGTATAATAAAGAAATGGACTTTTTTCCCAAGATTCTCTTCAGTGTTAATTATTTAGTTGATTAACATGTAACACGATGTTTATAAGATGGCATAGTTTCAAGGAGAGAATTGGTACAGCTAATCCGACCATCTGAAGTGACGTTACGAATTCCAAATGTTTCAAATGTAGATTCAAGATTACGAGAACGTCAACCTGACGATTCCAAGGCGACGATGTATGCCGAATAAAGGAACAAAACAGTGCAACAAACGAGTTTCTTCTTGACCCACATCTATTCGCAATGAAATGGTAAAAACAGGTGACAAGATACATTCTAAAATTAAAACTAAATCCATTGTTTAGTGTAACTAACAATAAGTAAGAACGAGGGTGAATTTTTCTAAACCTTTATTTTAAACTTGTAAAATTCTAAGATAGAAAAATTAAAAATGAAAAAATTCCATTTGAAAAGGCGAAGATATCCCCGTTCAGCGACCACAGAAGTTAACCTTGATCCGAAAAGAGCTAAGAGCGGAACCGGAAGCGTGGTCAGTACGAACAGACGTCATCAGAGAAACAATTTCTGTCGACGACGATGTTTCGATGAGGCTAGGTGGATGTACCCTTGGCTATCTCCCCGCACGGGAGGAACCAAGATGCTCCGAGGGATCGGATAGAGGGAACACGAAGTAGTGGAGGCAAAACCGATTCAGGAGGTGGTCGAGAGGAAGAAGGTGGGAAAAGAGGTAGCACGCGTAATGCACAATGGTGCATTAGCCAGAAGTAGACGGTCAGACGGTCTCCAACTGACCGGCTGAAAATCAACGAAGTTTCCAACCGAGGAACAAGAACGATCCTGAAGAATCCATCACCTAGGACGACAGCTCGCATGACACGAATGTCGAAGAACAACATTAAGGGTCCATCCTCGGAGAACTTCGTTAACCTGACATCCATTAAGACCGTCTCAATTCTATCTTCAAGTGTCTACCTTTCAGACGTACCCGAAGATTTCAATTGACCTTGTGTCTGTCTGTTCGCCACTGGATCATTATGTTGAATTCAAATTAAAGGAGGATCAAAGTAAAGTCCGTCAGTCGATATCTTGATAGAAACTTACGAAAAATACTTAAGCAGACTCCATAGAACCTGGCTACCTCCGCGAAGATGTCCGACATCGTTCCAAACGGTACATCCACGGATACCATGGAGAAGAAGCGAGGGGAACCGGTGACCCAGGTGTCCGATCAAGCGGTCGTTTGGAAATCTATGACTCTCCGTCAGAAATGGACCTACTTCACCAGTAATATCACCGTGGAACCCATGATCGCCTGTTACGTGATCCCCTGCATGTTAGCCTCCCTGGCCACCCAGAACCTCAGCCTGGAGAAGGCTTGCAGGGTGAATCTAGCCTATTCCGACGAAGTTTGCACAGCATTGTCCATAAGAAATACAACAGGCTACGAGGCTGAAGAGACCGCTGTCCAACAGCTGGTAGCTGGCATGCAGACTTGGAAGACAGCTCTGACCAGTGGTCTCCCGACGATTCTGATCCTCTTCATGGGCGCCTGGAGCGATCGTACCGGTTTAAGGAAACCTTGTATGTTGTTGCCAATCGTCGGAGAGTTTCTCAGCAGCGTCAGCATGCTGCTGTGCACCTATTTCTTTCACGAGGTCTCGATGGAGGCGACCGGAGTGTTCGAGGCTCTGTGGCCAGCGTTAACCGGAGGATGGTTCACCATGTTCATGGGTGTTTTCAGTTACATCGCGGAGATCACGTCGGTGGAATCGAGGACGCTTCGTATCGGTGCTGCTAACGTTTTCTTGTCCCTCGGTGTGCCTATCGGGATGGCGTTGTCCGGGATATTGTACTTGAAACTTGGCTTCTACGGTGTCTTTGGTATATCCACCGTGTGTTACGTGTTGACTTTTATTTACGGTCTGGTGGTAATCAAAGAGGCGCCGAAAGTTAGACTGAAACAACCGGAGAAGATGTCCTTGTGCAATGCGATTCTTGATTTCTTCGCGTTCAAGCATATCGAAGAGACGTTTAGGGTGGCGTTCAAGAAAGGGAGGAATAATAGGCAGAAGAGGGTGCTGGTGCTGATGGTTGTCGTTATGGTTGTGATCGGTCCTCTCTATGGTAAGCGTTGCTTTCTTAAAATATCTGTTGGAATATCACTGAAATTCATCAATGATCAGTGCCACGAATCAATTAAGAAAATTTTTAAATACATTAATTTATTTTCTCGTTAATTTATGTTATCGAAGTGTATCTATTTACAGCTCGCTATTTTAAATATCTTTTTTTTCTCTATTCGTTCACCAGTAGCATTCGATTTCTCTTTCGACGAAGCTTATCGCCAGTAATTATTTCTTCGCTCTACTGAATCCTCTAAACACTGGCAGAGGATGGTACCTCCTTCGAAGGAGTATCCAAGTTTTTTCCTTCGATTTACCACTCTTATTTTCATCGACTTTCACGAAACGTTTCCACGTTTAGATACGATAATCCAGCCTGCAGCGAACAAAAAGTTTCTCTCTATCGACGTCCAGATGAAAGTGGGAAGAGTTTCACGTAACTCACATTAATCCTGCTACCGCTGCTGCGGTAATCATGCCACGTGCACGATTTCCACCGGTAATTGCACCATTTCGGCTACGGGAAAGCCGGAAAACTGGTATAGAAATGATAGAAACAACTTTGGTATAAAATAAAAGAAGCTGTCATTTTCAATTGGTACACTCCAGCATAAAAGTCATAAAATATTCAAAAAACAATTATTTACAGAAAACGCAGTTTCTTTTCTGTACTATTTTCTTGAGAACATTTGTAGATTTATCTATAAAAATTTATAGGTAAGGTGTTTATGTTTTGTGATTAAACGTTTTATCGAATCCTTGAAGAAACTTCCTACAAAATATCCTTCAAGAGTGAAAAGACAATTTATTTCTTTTCTTCTCTTTTTTCATAAGATATGGTACTTCTATGCTTGAAGGAACAGTAATTCAACTGTTAGTGTCCTCAATTTTCTCTAAACAACCGCGATGCCAATCTTAAACGACAATGCAGTTGCATCCGTCGATTACGGATTATTAGCGCATCGCGAATTCGTATTGCAACAGGGAATTCAAGGGAAGCGTCCTTGTCATAATTTAATTAGACCGCTAATACCGCCGGACATTATAATGTTTCGTTACGTCTTTATTCCCTTGATACGAGCTGCAAAGAGCGTCGTGAGTAATCATGCTGCATATAACAATTTCGTCTAATGGTCGTCTTCCTGATTTTCAAAGCCTAATAATTAGACGTTCGTGTATATTTCAGAAATTTTCTATTTCTTAACGTTCCATTGCTACTGCACAATATCCTCTTACGTTTCTTTAAAAACCTTTAAATGTCACGGGTCAAAAATGTTAAAAGATTTACAGGGTATTTGTAGATTACAAATTGACAAATAAAATTCTTTTCTAATTTTATTTTTATTACGTCTCGAATTAATTAATATAATTAATTCAAGAATGGCAGGTCACTTAATTTGCCTGTAAATACATCGAGCATGGGAGAGAGGCATATTAATACCAATCATTCGAAACATTGTGTAATTGGACTGTACAATTGGTTTACGCTAATTAAATCAAGCGTCGCCTTTAATTCGATCAAGTTACCCTCTTTCGACATTGGTTCGCGCGTGGCACGTGTGGCCGAGTTTATTAATCGGTGAAAGTTGTTCAAATTGCCATAAATAAATACATTGAAAAGAAAAAAAATAGAAATGTCACTTGATAGGTGTCGACGCACGAATCCTTGTACCATTAATCAAATCCTTGTTGGCGTTGCACAATGGCCCAAGATTTCTCTACAGTCAAAATTATTACTGACAGTGCACGTGTGAAGTCAATACACCTATTTAGAACTAGATTCTATTCGTAGTATGCTAATACGGTCTGATTACTTAAGTAGATTGATGTAATTTCAGATCTTTGACCGTCGGAAATAAATCCAGTTCTGGTGATTCGAAGAGTTCCAATTGTTCAATACTGTATCGTTTCATAAAAAAAAAAAAAAATAATCATAATTAATAGAGAAAAATTCACGAATCTTTATTGGCAAATTTCTTTTTCATTGTCAATGGATTTAAAAATAAATCATGTTTCTTTAACTTGTTATTTTAAATTATTCTAAATTAATAGCTGTTAAAAGTTTCTCTAATAAAATAATCATTTTGTATTTAACAATCTAATAGATCAGACAGGCGATGATACCCTCGAAGATAGATTGGAATAATTTTATTACCGTGTAATGTACTGTGCACACGAATTTATTCATGGCAATTTCGATTCGTTATTAGTCGACATTACATAAGGATACACACATCGTTATACAAGTTCGTTCATCAAGTAATTTGTTTAATCGTTCCCATCATAGCCCATTATCGCGTCGTTTCTTCTTTTTCTATCTAACGATCGTCCTTCCATTCTACTTTTTCAAAAACAATATCTTTCAATTTCATTAATATCCATTTTTACTGCAACAACGAACCTCTTAAATTCCTCCTATCATCGTGTACTATGACTTTTCCTTTTCAATAAAACACGATTCTTCCATGACTACAGAAAGAAGCTCTTGCAAAAACACGAACACGAATAATAAAGAGATGAATTTGCAAGGAACAGTATTCCAAGATACACTTAAAGAACGATGAAAAAGGATTCAGTCAGCGTTTTTAAACCTATAATTTTTAGAATACCTAAACAACACATGTAGAACGTAGATAATTGTCATTCGTTTTTTTTTTAACTGTTCTATCAGTTTGGTGTCTTTTATAAATTTAAGTAAGTCCTGAATTTTACTGTTTTTTAAGCTGTCCTTGAGTGAAGATTCTAGTTTATGTTTGTTGCGGAGGAAATCATATTTAGTACAGTGGAGGATTAAATGATTTTTGGATATTGCAGAGTCACACTCTGAGCTGAAGTTTTTCTTTGTTTAATATTCATGTAAACTATAGTTGCATCGCTTAATTGACGATAAGGATTTTAAACAACATTCCTCTTGAATCGTTCCATCCATAAGATTCTTCAAATTGTTCTTAATAATGTTGGAAGAGCTGGAGGAATATTACTAGTTGACGTCACAACATCGTTTTTTTTTCGATGTCCATTTTGAAAGGCATAATTATTTTTTAATAAATGAGCCGAATCGCTCCTGATGTTTAATTTATGATTGGTAACTTGAATTCGAAAGCTGTTACGGATCACGTAGCAACATTGTTTAAATAAGGCTAAACGAGAGGCACGGCAATTCTGAAAAACGTTTTGACCATGATCTTTCATGCTGTTTATAGACGGAATTGATCCACCCACATGGATTTCAAACAGTGCAACTCGAGGTTTGCAAAGGTTGCAATTTAGAAACTGGTCGTCGTTTGAAATAAATGAAATAATCGTTCTTTTTGTTCTTCACAATCGAAATCATTATTTTCTAAACAGCTGAGTCATCGGTTTGTTAATCAAAAAAAGTATTGACATACCGGGCTTCGTTACGATAATTGTAATATTAGTTGCAATTTATTTATTTTTTTAATTATAGCTGGAACTACATATTTCTAGTGGTAATTTTGAAGAATTTAATTTCCATAGTAAAAGGGTTAATGTTTGGTAGAAATTCTTTTCTTTCTTCATTTTACAGTTCACTGGGTTAATAGGTAATTACCATGAGTGAATAATTATTGTTTCAGGTGAAATGGCAGTGATGTACCTGTACATGAGATACAGGTACCATTGGAACGAAGTGATGTTCAGCATGTTCACGACATTCGCAATGGTAACGAATTTAATCGGTAAGCAAATAAGATAGTTTCTTTAAATTCTTGAAACTGATCTATCCCAAGCACCCCATTTGAAGATACCACAGCTTCGTTACCAGAAATATATGTGCATGAATATCTGAAGTGTAATAACCAGGAAGTATCATCGATCTTGTAAAGAAACACGACTCCTCCATCGATTTCCATAATGAAATTCAGTTCCTTCTTTTTTCCACGGTATACAATGGAAATGTTGTTTAGAATCGAAGGCAACGTGTCAGATTGCATCTCCTCTTTACCTGCAAGGATGCATCAAGGCGCGATGCAACTATGCAACGATGTAGACATAAATCTCCTTGAATTATATACTTCTTTCTAAATTACCGTTTCTTCGACGCTGTTACGTGCTTTCAGATGATCGAAGGTTTCGCAAAGTTTGCGATAAAACGTTTCTTTTTGAAATAAATTGGAATATTTATTATATTCCAAATTTATAGAAAATGAATTTTTCTTTTGATTCTTTTTATTCTTCCTAAAGACCTCCATGGAACCGCAATCCCTCGCACGATTGAACGAGCATTTTCGTTGCCTAATTGAACTATGAAAGCAACCGGAATCAGTTATGTAATCAATTGTGTCATTGCCAACCGGAATTGTCAACCATAGTTTCCGAACAAATTCTGTAGTCCTAGAAACCTATATTTCCCACGAATACTGGCAGCTCAAATACATTTATCCGTCAATTTACTTGAAGGATATAAAAATGATGAAAGTTATGCAATCAGTAATTATCGAAGATTTCTTAACTTCTATACTAATCAACAGAAGATTGGCAGGTGAAAGGAAAGGATGTTTAAAAAGACAATCATTTCTTGCAGGTACTGCTATATCAGTCGGTGTGTTTAGTCACATTTTGAAGATTGATGATGCTATCGTTGGTATCATGAGTTCGATGAGCAAGATTTTAGCTGGTTTCGTATATGCCTTCGCCACCACTGACTGGATGATTTATTTAGGTAAAGTCATTGCAGACATTGAATAATCTACTGAAGTATTTAAAAAAAGTTATAGTAGTTAAAGGTTATAGATGGAATATTACGTAAAATATTGAATTTACAATAAGCCATATTAAAGATTTAAGAAAGGAGCTAAAAATGAATGTCATTAGACTGATATCATGTTCTAATAATATCCCAATTTTTCTAAATTCTCAATAAAACACATTAGTATCTAATAATAGATTCTATTCGGTTTTGAATTACTCAGGAAACAAATCACTTAAGTACTTCAGCAACATCTATAAATATCATAAATGTCATCAGAGAGATAAGAATAATTTTTCTACGTTCGTGTTACAGCTGCTATCGTCGAAATCGTGAATGGAACATCCTTTATAGCAATGAGATCGATAGCATCGAAACTAGTATCAACCGACGAGCTAGGTGAGTAAATGCAAATGCAATTTATTTATTGCCTCGACATTGTAGAATGACATTGCGGAACAACTTTTTTCTAAAGCTACTGTGTAAACGCGTAACGTGTACCGTTACACCGTGAAAACGTTTAGATCGTAGCTGTTAGTTTATGTAATTAGCAAAATATCGGCTTATATAAGGCAAAGATAAGCGTTAACTGATCAGAAATTGAACGAGGAAAGAGAATGTACTCGTGAAAGGAACATGAATTACATTGGTTCATTTATGAGAAAAAAAAGGAAATAGCTTCAAGGGTGCAAAAAATTTGTTTTTGTATCCGTCAGTCAATGCGTAAAAGGCTTTCTGCAAAAAGGAGCCTAGGAATTGACTTCATGGTTGGATCATTCGTTTCCTATTCTGTAAAAAAGTATCCCTATTAAAAGCGCCTAAAACCTGCAACCTGCCCAGCACCGACGACTGAACGTCAGGTCAGCAGGGATGGGTATAGTCATAACCAAGAAGAGAAAGCCGAATGCTGCAGTACCGAGAAACAGAATAGCACGAGGTAAGTTTCTACTATTCAATGATTCTTGGTTATGACTGTACCGGCCCCTGCAGACCTGACGTTCAGACGTCGGTGCTAGGCGGGTTGCAGGTTTCAGGCGCTTTTTACTCGAATTTTTAAACGTTAATTACTGGAAAACAAAGCCGCAAACGCTATTTCGTTATTCTTGATTTTCGTCTTATTTTCATCCCTAGAATTACCCCTTAAAATTTTGCCCACCTATTGTCGAACACCTTGTATATGAAAATGTAACTAACATAACTAACTAAACCTAGAATACATACTAACACTTCCGCATTTCTTTCTTTCGTCTAGACTGAAGTTTAACGAGGCTAACCCATTTAGTTAACAGTGATTTCTTTTTCTTCTTCTTGTTTTATCCAGCTATGTATTAATCCCGTTATTTGATCTTTAAAACAGGGTTGAAGGTAAAAGAAACTCACGGTATCACGGTAGCGTAATTCTCCTTATTATTTACAGGCAAGGTGAACTCGTTGTTTGGTGTCTGTGAGTCCATGATGCCTCTCGTTTACGGTCCCATGTACAGTTCCATTTACGCTGCCACTATGAAAACATTTCCGGGAACGTTCTTCATCGTCGGCGCCTGTCTGACCATGCCAGCCGTGTTCGCCTTCTTGTAAGTTCTTCCACTTCCGGTACTGCCATTACCTGGTTACCATCGTCTCAATCAACAACACTTTGGAAAATGAATTTATTGTTTGATTAACAGATGGTTGTACACGGAACATAGAAGAGATCGTCAGCTATTGGAGCAAGAGAAAAAAGCAAAGAGTAAGGCTGAGGAACAAGATGACAGTGATTCGAAGACTGAGAAATGGCAAATTATCGGCGAGAAAAAGACGGAAGTTCGTACGATGAACGGTGTCGCGAATGCAGCTTTCGAATCCGATCGTTTATAACTGAGGATTTAAATCGTAATCAATGAGACGAAGCAAGAAGAGAAAAGAGAGGTCAATGAGATGATCATTTAACACCTTTGTGCTGAAATAACTTACGAACATATACTTGTACGATTTAAAAATCAAGAATCATTTTCAGAGGTGCAAATTTACTACACGTACAGTCTTTTCGCGTTGAAATTGCAGACATTTTTATTAAAGAAATATAATAATTGATATAGAAAGGATAACTAAATCAATTAAAATTTTGATGGTGAATATAATCAAAAATATTTTTTGCAACAGTAAGAAATTCTTAATATGCAAAGCTATCCTTTATCTCAAATTCTAGTACAAGCAGTCTCCGGTACTTAATACACAATAATTAATAACAATAAAAATGGAACAGGCATCAGTCTGTTCACGTGTATCAGTATTACGAACATTACTTGCATATATCTTCCCCGATCATCGATATTAATAATGAAAAATGAAATTCAGGAAATGGAAATGTTACTCTATTGTTGGACAACCGAGACATGGGTTTTACCTTGTGTTCGATATTCTTAAGTGAATGCAAGTATTATAAACAAAGGACAATGTATCATGTTTTTTCGTGAGAAAAGAAATTTATCGATCGACCTGTTGTACGTTTTTATCGATTAGTATTTATATTAAGAACCTGCATCATTTTCCGTACACGCGTTATAGCTTATTGTGATATAGTACAATAGTTTTGTATTTAGGAAGTAAATAAAGTTTACTGAAACAATTGTTGCAGCATTGAATTTCTATAGGAGATAATTATCAGGGCTTGCGATAAAATGAATCCGGATATCCTTTCAGACCCCCAGTAAAAATCAATACAAAATAGCTTATTGTATTTAAACATTTATTTATCAAGATTTTTATAAATTTAAACCATTCCCCTGAGAAGCTCATTGATCTTGTCTTCACGGTTTCCGAAATCACCACCTTCAACATAGTGGTTAGTCTTCTTACGCCATCCGCCAGTGGGTGTGTTAAGCTAAAAATAAAAGATTGAAATGAGTGCTTGAAAATTCAAAGATTAAATCATAATTATTTAAATAATTATTGAAATGTTTGAGTTTGACTGACGGACGCAAAAATTATATGCAGGCCATAAAGAGAAACTCGTGTTACTGTACGACATAGTAGGAGGTTAGTAGAACATTGAATAGTTCTACAACCATGCCTATGTCGCCAATAAAGAATCTGACGTTATGTGCTGGATACCATACCTTGAATGGCCACAGGAAATTGCTTGCAAACTTGAATTTTGATCCCACCGTGAATATTTCGTGGATTAAATCTTCAACACAAATAATGCCGGAACGACCTGTAACAATTAAATTCAATTATTAATAATTAAATTCAATTATAAATGTAATTTGTATGAATCATTAACAACCAGAATGTAAATTTATACGAAAAGGCTATATAGAGATTCAATTACTCTTTGACAAGATGGAAGGAAGCTACATAACTGAATGAATATAACTTCCATGGACTTGTCAATGTATAATTAATAAGTAATACTAACCAAGTTTCTTCTCAATGAGAGCATTGCTTGTAATAGGAATACGTTGCCTATTAATCTTAGCAAATCCTCTTTTGTAAATCAACTCTCTGACCGACTTCAGATTTGGATACCCCCAAGTGATGTAGGGCTCAACAATACGAAGCATATTAATTGTTGCTTTATTCAGCTTCACAAATATACCATTATTGATCTGTTTAAGGCGGAAAAGTTGAAGTACTTTACGTACTTTTGGAGCAACTTGGTTCACACTGAAATAATATTAGCTCATCATACACTGAATAAACACTAACTGCATAAAATCATATTTAAAAAATATAATAACTCACCCCCGAATACGGATAACAAATGCAAGACGCGCTTCTCCAGGGATGTAATAGTTACCGCGATTTTTCGCTTGTCTCATTAACCTGATTTCATCTCTTTCTTTTCTTCTGTATTCTCTGACATAATTTTCAGCCCTCTTGAAGATTTCTTTCCTCTTCTTGTATTGATTTGCACGTTGCTGAAAATAAATAGTTGTTATTTCTTGATCTACTATACATGGAACAACCGTGAAACATTGTAGGAAAATGAAGTACCTTGAGAGATATTTGAAGACGTGCAGCTTTCACCGCTTCACGGGTTTTCCTTCTCTTAAGTACCGACTCCGGTACTGCCGGCAGCTTTTTAGAGGGAGGGGCCGTTGTTTCCTTCGGTCTGCATAAATGATTAAAAATTATACATTCAACTCTAACGAACGAGTCGCGTGGTACAAGTAATTTAGGTTAGGCTAGGTTAGGCTCTCCTCAACAATACTGTTCCCGATGATTGTTTTAAATAGATATACAAATTGTACTGAATGTAAAACAAAAAACAACATTCTATTAAAAAACTAATAGCCTTTAGTGATGAAATATTAATTACATTTCATTTCATATTGATGAATGGTATGACTTGTCAGCAGAGAAGTATAATTTATCATTTGTTCAAGAAAGAAAAAAACTACAATATTCATCCAATAAAGAATTGAACAAGGATTGATAAAAATACATTTCAAAAATATTATAGGCATTCTAATAAAGGATGTTTACAGATTTATTGAAAGATTTCAATAGTACTTACGCGTCCGCCATTCTTCCGCTAGGTAAAGAAGTTGCCAACCGTTCAACATCTCGGGGTAGCCAACTGTAGAACTTGAAGTTGCCCGCAATTCACGCAAGGCTGCCAATAAAATGCAATTTGAATTTCAGTTTGATTTTCACTGGATGCAGCAGTGGTTGCTTGGCTACAGGGGCTACAGATAACTGAAAAGACAATTTTTACTCCCTTTGATTATATTTCTGAAAAATCAGTCAAAATCAGCACAAGAACGAAAAATGATTAAAATAGTTGTTTGACAAACTTATATTCACTCATACCCCAAGCTGTATTCAATACGACTTTGCATTGAAACGAGAACAAAAGTATTCGAGGACCGTAGACTTTTCCTTTTAGTAATAATGTAACATTTTTAATTAAAAAGGCACCCTGTACGTACGTCCTTGTTAGTTATTTAATATAATCAAAGTAATTGACAATGAGAACGATGCGGCGCGGTGAACTTTGAACGCGAGGATCAAACGTGGCGACAATGCGGGGCGTGCTAAGTGCCCCCTTTGCCCCTGTGCCGTCCCTCTAATATACCCTCAATCTTTGAACAGTAAGTAAGTACTTGTGTAGCAGGTGTGGTGGGCTCCGGAGCAATACACGTAAGGCGTAAGGTCCTAGAGCCCTCCTTTAGCGCAAGGGTTGGTCGCCGTTGGATTTTAATCAGTACGACTAACGCCCTCCCCCAGGGGTCAGAGAGGGTCTTATTTTAAAGTGGTCTATTTCACCACTTTAAAAAAAAGAAGAAAGTAAAGTAAAGGTAGTTGGCCGTGGCGGTGAAGGGGAACGTCATGGCTGATCGGGCACCGTTGCCAACCATCGAGCAATGTGAAACCCCCTCAGTTTTATAACGACTGCTGAGGTGTGCGGATCTATCTGTTAAACATATATGTACCCCTATTTTATTTTCTGCATTTATTTCATTTGCTGTATTTATCTTCGTGTGTGTCTTGCCCCACTATACTTTTATTTATTACTTTACCCCCATTTGTGGGCCTCATGGGAACCACTCTCCCAAGTCATTTATTATTTTATTCCCATGGACTTTGGCTCAATCTCTCCAGTCATTTAATATTTCTTTTCTCTCCACGGAGCTCAACCTTATATCTCTTACATCGCTGCATCCCTTACATCACGGCTTCTCTTACATTCCTGCATCCTTTATATCTCTCCACCCCTAACATCCCTCCATCCCTTACATCCCTCTATTCCTTACATGCTTAGATCTCTTATACTTCTGCATCTGTTACATCTCTGCATTCCTTATACCCCCGCAGCCCTTATATTTCTGCGTCCCTGACATCTCACTATCCCTTCCCCGGAATACCTCTGTATGATCAGATAACGGATCAACAAGTAGCAATATAAAATGGAGAAAGCAGAATGAAGAAAGGTAGTCGAATCACAGGAAAGTTTCCTGCCAGGTTCATAACTAGGTCCGCTGTAAATTCTCTAACTATTATATAAATATACCAATACTTCTGTTCCCTTGAAAACAGACCCTTATGCGGGCATCTTTATTTTACTTCATTACATTTCTTCTTACAATTCACCTTTAAGATAGAAATTATATTTTGCAAAAAGGTTAAATAAAATATCATATTTTTTATGTTTTTACACAGACGTGTATATGAAACATTAATGAGGGCGAACTCGTTTGTACGGCACTGTACATCAAATCACCTGCTGGGTAGTTGACTAAAGTTGGTATAGATTTGGAAACGTTGTTGTCAGCTATAAATTCAGCCGACAGTGGAAGCTTATCAAGCAGTTTGTTCAGGTATCGTTGTGAGATCTTCACTAACTGCTTTTCCAGCGCGGATAAAATTGTATTAGAGAAACGATTTGCGATATGTTTGACTATAAGGTTTACCGTGGATTCGCTTATCTGGTCTTTGAAGGATATGGACATTTCACTAGAAAAAAAATTACATTTAAATGGACATCGTCTAGCCGTCAAGTAACTAATTAAGAAAGTATAGAAAGTTTGAATTTAAGATGAAGGGTTAAAATAAGCCTTTACGTAAAGGTAATAATAATTACTCGATTTTTACGATGTTGACCGCACGTAGAATAACTCGGTGGTCTTCCAAGCTTATATCTGCTACCACTCTTGCCTCGATGTTGCCGAAGTGTCCATTTATTTGACCCTGTTTCTTAATGGGTAAATCTTGGAACAGGAAGTCATAGGTACCCTAAAAATATTCGAAGAAAATACATTTGTTCAATTCGTACTCATTGTCAGAACGAAAGCATTCGGTATCGAATAGTATTTTGTTCATCTTACGTCGAGTACATCGAATCCCATCGTGGCAACCACGGTGTAAACATTCGTGTCGGAAATTAAAATAGTGTCGTCTACTCGTCTTATGCCCGATAGCCCTTGAAGCCGTCCGTTTGTCAAACTAATCCCTCTGTGACGTATGGGTAAACCTGGCTGTAAAAGAACCGGGCTTCGAATTTAAAGAAATCTCAATTGTTTTCAGTATCTTCATTCTATGAAAATTCAGGATTCATTAGGAAGTATTTTTTAATAGAATGTAGAAGAAACAAATACCAGGTCCTGATGTATGCTGTCCAATTTCATGGGGTCCATTTCGTTCTTTTGTATGTATTCACGAACCATGGGCAATACACCGTCGACTAGCGAGCTGATGTTCGTCTTTGTCCCATGATATACATTGTCTGTTCTGTGTCGCAAAAAATGAAAAATTTAATTTTCATCAAATTCTTTACTATTTGGGCAATCGTCTATTTGGTGATAATTTGTAAACTTACTCGTCATCGATGGTGTCTGCGAAACCGCTTATGAACAGCGCCGAAACGCACAGCAAAACGAGAAATTGAATTTTAGCTGTCATAGTACACGAATGATGCTAAACGATCAATCGACAATGATTCGACTACCTTTCCTCATTCTGCTTTTTCCATTTTATATTGCTAATTGTTGATCCGTTATCTGATCGTATCTTACCCTTATTGACTTCTATTGGTATTATCGCTCTCAGTGTCAAGTACTTTAATTATATTAAAAAAATAATAAGTTATAAATAAAAAGTAATCATTACGGAAAGGTTTACAAAATTATCATAATTTATTAGAAGGAAAGTAAGCCCGTTATCGGCACGTGGTTTGTTTAACATAGCTTATCCTTTTAACGAGTATTGCGCATACAGTTGCTACTTTTGGTACATTCAATCATACTTTTTTATTATATTTTGATAAAAATAAGTGATTACATTATAATGTAATATAATTATAATCTATGATAATCTAATCAGTATTATCGAATGATAATCTAAACCAGTAAATGTTATTAAATCAATTAAATAAGCCGAATTATAACACGTGTAGTAAAGTATTTATCAGATAAAATAATTTTTAATAAAAAATACAAGTGACTTCAAAATGCGCTAAAAAGTGTAAAATAACTTATACTTCATTTCTACAACAAAATGTGCTAAAAAGTATGAAAGAATAATTTATCTTTCCTTATGAGCTCCGCTTCACCCTTTCCAGTTATTTATTATTTTATCCTTCCTTATGAACTAAAGTCCACCTTTATCAGTTATTATTTTATCCTCCTTTATGGGTCAAACCCACGCTTCCAAATTATTTATTATTTTATTTCCCTTTATGGGCCCCGTGGGGACCACCCTTCCCAGTTATTGTTTATCCTATTCCTACTCTTTATGGACCAAGGTCTCCCTTTGCAGTTATTTATTTTTTCATTCTTTTCATGGACCTCGCAGGGACTACCCTCAAATCCCTGCATTTTTTACATGCCTGTATCCCTTTCATCACTGCATCCTTTACATCCCTGCTTAACATCCCTCTATCCTTTACACCTCTCTATCCCTTACACTCTTCAATCCTTTATGTCTCCCTGTTCCTTAAATGTCTGTTCCTCTTACAATCCTGCTTCCCTTATAGCCCTGCATCCCACAAATCACTCTATTCCCTACAATTTGCGGTGCCTTACATTCCTTTATTCCTTATATACTTATTTATCCTTATATACAAAATTTTTCTTGAAAAAACAGCGCCCCCTAGCGACGAAAATATGAACTAAAATTTCGATGTCGGATCAGCGCCACCTGGTGGCAAAAAAAGGAATTAAATCATGCAAAATTTTCGGCCCTCTAGCGACGAAAATATGAACTAAAATTTCGATGTCGGATCAGCGCCACCTGGTGGCAAAAAAAGGAATTAAATCATGCAAAATTTTCGGCCCTCTAGCGGCAAAAATGCGAACTAAAATTTCGATGTCGGATCAGCGCCACCTGGTGGCAAAAAAAGGAATTAAATCAGGCACAATTTTCGGCCATCTGGTGGCAAAAGTGGGAACTAAAATTTCGACGTCGGATCAGCGCCACCTGGTGACAAAAAAAGGAATTAAATCATGCAAAATTTTCGGCCCTCTGGCGGCAAAAATGCGAACTAAAATTTCGACGTCGGATCAGCGCCCTCTGGTGGTAAAAACAGGAACTAAAATTGTTACGATTTCTTACTTCAAAAGTGCTTACAGTGGTACACGGGTAGTGTGAGACTGAACAGTCTCTCGTTGGTGTCTCTGCATGCAGTTCTAATCTCATCTGGGAGTGTCTGGGACCACCCCGAATCATGATCCCCCGAAAACAAAGGCATGCCCAATCTTCTCCATCTGTAGTCACTGGCTCAAAGCGTAATAAATGAAAAAGAGGAAGAAAATCGAACGATAAATTGTTGAGTAGTTTCCGCCATTTGTGTATAGATGACGCTATAATCCAAGTTCAAAGATACTTGATTTATTGCGGTCTTTTTAAAATACAATTTTGTTATTTTAATAATTTTTTGGTCTAGTGTCGATTTTAATTGATTTTTAATAAAATAGAATGAAAGGAGAGAGAAAGGTCAGGATAATTAAGTCAGGTAGAAGCACGTTAAAATAGTCTCATTTATATTTCGAAAATTCAATCGAATACATGTGCGAAGTTCCTAAATTCAAAGAAGTATCCAAAAGAGCTAAATTACGTATTCGTGTATATTATAATAAATTCTTCGAACAGAGTCAAACGAAGAAGAAAAAAAAAAAGAAACGAGTAGAACATAAGATAAAAGAAAAATCATGGTATTCTCTTTTTTTATGTATAACGCATCGTACACACTATTATATTATTTATTATAATTGGCAGATGGAAGTGGCATTTTAACGGTTTGGAATTGGTCCAATGGTTCGTTCTTTATTCCTCCTTATTATGTTGACATCGTTAAGCTTCTCTGACAATATAGACGTCGACAGGCACTTTAGCCCTCTCGTATATTCAGCGGAAGTCGATGACGATCGAATCGTCGTGATTATTTTCGCCCGAAACGACACGCAGATCGTTAATAAAACCAGACATTTAAATCAAAGTACAAGATACTAATATTATATCTATATTGTGAATTTTGATTTAAGTCCTCGAACAAAACGATCGTGACAATCACTTTGGTGATGAAGGTAATGCGCGTGGACCAACGATGGTTATGTACATGGATAAAATAAGACCGCTGTCAAAAAATCCGCCGGCGATGACAGTGAAAATTGTTGTAACATATATTAATGATCGACAATCGTCGTCTAGCAACAATCCATAAATAGCAAATAATAATAACGTACACGCTTGGATCAATTTTATTCACCCTAAAAACGCAAGAAAGTCTTTCGTGGTTCGCAAATCAATAGAAAAATGGTCGGAATACGATATATACGATACACCCCTATTCGTTACAAAGCGACACAGTAAAAGTAATAATTAAAGAACGAAAGAAAAAATGAAAAAGAAAAATTTCACGATACGGTAATTTGATAAACGTGACACAGAAGTATAGCAAACGTGTAGCAATGAATATTACACTTATTATAAACACTAACACTTCGTCTGGAATACTTGGAGCAATATCATGCGTGTCTCGCAACCCCTTAAGTCGTTCGCGCCATTTTCGTTTGACAGAGGTCTATAGCTTTCTAGAGAGAAGAAATAAAAAAAGAAAAGACACGACGGATTTGGTCCACGTTAGCAAAACATAGCGCGCGCTCACGGAATTCACGGACGATATTTTCAATAGTATTCTCGACACGAAATAGAGCCTTCTTCTAAAAGAAATATGGCTGGTCGTCGGTAATGAAACGACCGGTTTCGTCGTCGTCCTCGTCGAGTCAGGTCGCATCGTTCCTGACGAACGACCCTCGTTAATCTTACATAAAGTGAGTCGGAGCAACATCAACGACATTGTACATTCACTCAACAACAGTCCGTTTACTCTCTTTCGCTCTCTCATCTTCTCTGTTTCATCTTTCATTTCCCGGCTCTCCTTTCACACGAGTTTTCACGCTTGCTTCGGATGCGTTGCGGGCGCGGTTGGCTCCGAGCGGAAACAGGACAAGAGGAAACCGGTGTACATGGCGAACAGGACGGTTATGGCGACCAGCATGTACATGTAGATGTTTAGTTCCGGTTGACGGTACCTGTTCTTGCGTAGCCACTCGAGAACATCCTGTTCTTTGTGAAGATCACCTATTAAAGAAAAGAAGACAATTTTTAGTTCTATTACATTAATAGTAGCGATGGGTTTGTCTCATAGGTAAAGATCACGATGGGTTTGACTTTGTTAATCATTAATTAATCGTAGAATAACTTTGAAAAATTTCAAGAAATTCACCTCGATAAATACTGGGGAATCTCTTGCGGAAGTAGACAATGGCAGGAAGTTTGGTGACACCCCATTTCCTGGCGTATCTTGGATCCGCCATCTTCACAAACGTGATATCCAAATTATCAGTTTCTCCATCGATGTTCTCTAATTTTTCACTCACTTCTTCGCTCTCTCTGCTGTCATGTTCGTCTAGGTACAATTTTATTGTTACAATTTAGAGATCTTTTATTATTGAATAAGGATAAAATTGATTTGTGATTCGCTTACAAAAGAAGACAGCAAGGAACTCGTTTTCGTCCAGCAACTTGTCCAGCATCTTTTTGTTCACCTCCTCGATCTCGTTCTTGATCTCAAAGACATCTTGAGAAGTCAGCCACTGAAGAATCTTGTCCTCTTGGGTCAGATCACCGTCGTAAATAAGTGGGGTTTTTTTACGGAAATAAACGAGAGAAGGGACATTCAGGATTCCATATTTCTCGGCAGCTTCTGGACTGAAAACCTTGACAAAATCGATACCGAATAAATCTGCCTCGCCGTCGATTTTCTCCAAAGCTTCCATGATCTCGTCGCATTCAGGACAGTCTTCGTCGTCTAATCGAAACATAAATGAATAATTTATTAAAATATTTATATATTTAAAAAAAAATTGAACGTATTTTATAACATACAGAAGAAGACAGCGAGAAAGGGAGATTCTTCAAGAAGTCTCTCCAGCATCCTGTCGTTAACAGATTCAATTTCATCCGCTAGTTCTCGGTTGTCGTCATCGATTAACCATTCGAGCACCGATTCTTCATTTTGCAAATCACCTATTATATAAAATTATTAGAATTGATTAATGTGGAATTGTATAATTGAAAAGATATGAGAATTAGAAAGATATATAGAAACCTTCGAACAAAAGAGGATTGCCGTTTCTAAAATAAACCAGCGCAGGGTACGTTTTGATGGAGTACCGTTTGGCTAGCTGGGGATCCTGAATTTTTACCAAGTGAATGCCAAACACGTCGCACTCGTCGTCGATCTTTTCCAATCCTTCCAAAATTTCGTCGCATATGTGACAATTTTGTTTATCTGGAATTATATAATTTTATGCTTTCTTCTAATCATCGAACGATTCAGATAAATTATAAGTCTTACAAAAGTAAACTGCAAGGTACTGAGTTTCTTCGACAGATGTTTCCAACATCATTCTAGTGATCAGTTCGATTCGATCCTCTGTCTTCTGAGTGATCAGCCATTGTAGAACCTCTTC